ACGCCCAGGCCCCGCCCGCCACGCTGCAGACGCCCGCCGCTCGCCCAGGCCCCGCCCCGCGCCCGGGCCCCGCCCTCTACGCACAGGTTTCCCAGGCCCCGCCCATCGCGTTCGGGGCCCCGCCCGCAGCCCGCAGCCGGACCTGCCCTGGGAACCCGAGGCCCCGCCCACCGCGCGCCCTCATAGTGCAGGCCCCGCCCATCGTGGCCGTCACCGCGGAGGCCTAGCCCCGCTCCGCCCTCCCGCTCCCGGCGGCTCCGGGTGCTGAGAGCGGCCTGATGCCTGGTGTTGAGGGTCGTTGGGGGGTGAGTTCGGGGCCCCGCCCGCAGCCCGCAGCCGGACCTGCCCTGGGAACCCGAGGCCCCGCCCACCGCGCGCCCTCATAGTGCAGGCCCCGCCCATCGTGGCCGTCACCGCGGAGGCCTAGCCCCGCTCCGCCCTCCCGCTCCCGGCGGCTCCGGGTGCTGAGAGCGGCCTGATGCCTGGTGTTGAGGGTCGTTGGGGGGTGAGGTGGGGGGTACCGAGAGGGATGAGCACGCGGGGCGGTCTAACTGAGCATGCGCAGTCTATAGTCCGACTACCCGCCTCCCTGGAGGGGACGCGCTCCCTGCACTCCGAGGTGGGACTGGGAGGCAGAGTCTCCCCTCGAGATACTATGGAAAAGTACCAGGTGCTGAGCCTCACTTGGGGCCCAAGACCCACGGGCAGCGGGGTAACGGTCACGCCCCGAGGGGCCAGGCTGGCCTCATCCCGCGGGTGGTCCCGGCCTCAGGCCTCGGTTTCCCCTCCTAGATGATGACCTCCCCAGCCCTGACGCTCAGCTCGGGCTGGAGGCCGGCTCCTGTGTCCTTCCTTCCGAGTGTCTGTGCCGGAACCTAGCCCCGAGCACCCTCACCTGAGCCGTGCCGGGGTGTCCAGGCAGACGTGCCGGAACCTAGCCCTGAGCACCCTCACCTGAGCCGTGTACAGCATGCAGAGGACAGCTGCCAGGGAAACGAGCGGGAGTTCACTGCTGCTGTCCTGTGCTGGCCATGGGCCACTTTGCTGGGGGTGATGGGTCGTCCTCCCTGGGGAGGACGCTCTGTGATGCGCTCGGTGGCCAGGAAAGTTTTAAGTAAAGGAATACCAAGAAGTTTTGATTTGAGGCATGGGTTCATGTAGTGGGTGTTCCGCTGACCTCAGCCTGGGCTGTGCGTCCCTGCTTGTCTCCACCTGTTTCTTGTCCCTTTCCCCCCACCTGACAGCTGTCTCAGTGCCCCAGAGATCCCACCTCTGACCCTCCACCCGACAGCCCCGACTTCTGCTGAGCTCTGGCTCAGACCCCAGAGTACCAGAGCCTCAGCATCTCGGTGTAAACCTGGGCAGCGGGGCAGACAGTGGAGGGGCTGGTGGGTCTGCACCTGTTACAGGACCCTTCCTTCTGTGGAAGCTCCAAGCTTTCTGCCCTAGGCTGGCTTGTTCTTAGCTGTCAGGCTGTCCCTGCAGGTTGGAGAGGGTTGGAGGCTGTTAAAAGGACTCCAGGATGGGGCCTCAAAGGAGAGGGTACTGGCCCCACCACGGAGGGCCTCTCGGCCACCTGAGGTCATTTCCTGTACAGCAAAATGGGAGGTGCTTGCTTTTGGGAGGCCCAGCGCAGTGTCCACTTTCCTGGGAAAGTGCAGAGCTGTGTGTATGTCCTCAAGTGTCTCTCCCTTGCGGGTAGATTTTGCAAGAGCTGAGTCGTGGAGCCTTAGGAGTGAACCTCATGGTGGAGGAAACAGAAACTGACACCAAGTATGTGATAAAACAGGTGAGCAGGCGGGCAGTGCTATGGCAGTGGCTCTCCCAAACACAGCATCCCTGGCTGGAACGCAGCCTCCTGGACTAGGGCCAGGGACAAGCCTGGCTGAAGCAGGCACTGAGTTGTGGCACAAGTCCCCCTGGAGTTCCCTCCTTGCCCCCTCACCTGGGTGGTACTAAGTTTTGCCCCACCAACCACAATGCCTGCCAACATCTCATGAATGTCCCCTCGATTGTGCCAAGCCAGAACAGGGACACAGTTCACAGCCAGAGGCAGTGAGACTCAGGGAGCCCCATCTCACCAAGGATGAAGTTTCCAGGCGGTCGGTCCAGATGCTGAGGGTAGGGTATAGGCCCACGGGAGCACACCCTCTGTCATTTCCAACAGAGAACCTAGGGAGAAGATAGTGGCTGTCCGAGGCCCCGGCACACCCTTCTCTGCGGTGGTGACCATGCGGAGAGAAGCTTACATCTGGCTAGGCTCCCTCAGGCCTCTAGCCCAGCAGCCTCAGCCCTAGGTGGCTACGCCTGGAGTGCCTACCCCTTATTCTGCTGCTGCTGGCTGTGGGGTCAGTTCCCTTGTTTCACAGGCCAGTGGGCCAGAGTGGCCAGTCAAGTCAGCCATGGTGACACACGCCTGTATGCTCAGCATTTGGGAGACTGAGGCAGGTAGAGCTGGAGTTGAAGGCCAGCGTGGGCTACACAATAAGACTGTGTCTCAGAAACACAAACACCCATCCAGTCTTTTTTTCTAGGCATTTAAGAGCTTTTCTGTTTCTGTAAGAATGGAATTGAAGTTTATAACATCTAATATTGACACTGTCCCATGTTACTACCACAAGCTTCATTCTCTCCTAGCCTGGCAGCCGCACCCCTCCCAACTCACACTGCTCCGTGTGCTGTAATGTGCCCAGCCTGTCCCCCCATTTGGAATGAGCCTTTAGCTTATTTTTAGTTTTTACTACTCTAAACACCTCTGAAAAGCATCTTCTTAGGTTTTTTGTTTGTTTGATTGCTTTTTCCTTTGAGAATCCATGATTTCCTTAGGAAAAAATCCCTGCAGTGGGATTTCTGGACATATTGAAAGATTTCACTGTTTGGTTAATTTCCCTACTCATGGAGGTAGTCATGGAGGTGGAGGTGATGCTGGTGGTGGTGGTGGTGGTGGTGGTGGTGGTGGTGGTGGAGGTGATGGTGGTGGTGGAGATGGTGCTGATGGTGGTGGTGGTGGTGGTGGTGGAGGTGATGGTGGTGGTGATGGTGGTGATGGCGGAGATGGTGATGGTGCTGATGGCGGAGATGGTGATGGTGCTGATGGTGGTGGTGGTGGTGGTGGAGGTGATGGTGGTGGTGCTGATGGTGCTGATGGGGGAGATGGGGATGGGGCTGATGGTGGTGGGGGTGATGGTGGTGGTGCTGATGGTGCTGATGGTGGTGGTGGTGGTGGTGGTGGTGCTGATGGTGGTGGAGATGGTGGCAGTGGTGATGATGGAGATGGTGATGGTGGTGATGGCGGAGATGGTGATGGTGGTGATGATGGTGGTGGTGGTGGTAGTGATGGTGTTGTTGCTGGTGATGGTGCTTTTCAAAATGTCTGCTGGTAGTGATGATGGTGGTAGTAGTGATGCTGGTAGTAGTAGTGATGGTGGTGGGGGTGCTAGAGGTGGTGATGGTCAAGGTGATGCCAGTGCTGATGACAGTCATAGGGACAGTGATAGTGGTGGTGCTTATGCTGAGGTGTTCATGGCTTATGTTGAGGTGGTCATGGCAGCTGTTCACCACACGTTTGCTGACTGGGCTCCCATTTCTGCACCTGCAGGTGGAGTGCATTGATGAGCATCATGCCAACGAGGCCCTGGAGGAGGTAACTATTCCCTGAGAAAAACACAGAAACTGTGTTTTGCCCACTTTCTGAGTGATAGGGTGAAGGGAAGCTTGCAGGGTGGAGGGTCAGAACTCATTCTTGTACAGTCACAAAGGGAGTCCATGCCCAGCACACCCCTTTTAAATGACCACTTGGGATACCTGTCCCCAGAGAAGATGAAGTTTACTTACTGGGTTTCCACCAATAACCATCTTTTCAAAATGTCTTTTTATTATTTTTCTTTACATTGTATGTGTGTGTATGTGTGTGTACACCTGTGCGTGGCATGACGTACATGTGATCAGAGGACAACTTTCAGGACTCTGTTCTCTTTTCACCATATGGGTCAGGGATCAGACTCTGATCATCAGGTTCAACGGCAAGGGTTTTCACCTGCCGAGCCGTCTCTCGTGGTCCTAAAAGGTGTTTTTCTTCAGGCTGGGGCTGGAGCTCATGCTTTGTATGTTCAGGGCCCTGGGTTCCATCCCCAGCACTAGAAGAAAAGCAAAACACTTTCTTCCAGGTATAAAAGTATTAAGTACACTAGAAAACTTATCTACGAAAAATGTAAATTAGGGAACTAGAGAAATGATTCAGTGGTTAAGAGCACTGGCTGCTCTTGCAGAGGACCTGGTTCAGTTCCCAGCACCCACATGGCAGCTAGCAACCGTCTATAATTCCAGTTCAAAGATATCTGATGCCCTCTTCTGACCCCCATGGGCATTCATTGTACAACATGGGTGCACTTACATACATGCAGGCAATACACTCATAAAAAATAAAAATTTAAAAATAATAAATTTCTTTTTTGGTCTTTTTGAGAGAGGGTCTCCCTGTAGCCCCAGCTGGCCTGGAACTCACTATGTAGACCAGGCTGGCCTTGAACTCACAGAGATCCACCCGCCTCTGCCTGCACCACACACCCTGCATAAAAAAATAAAATTTTTACAAAGTAAGTTAATTAGGTGGGAGTGGCAGAGCACACTATAATCCCAGCTCTCAGTGTAGAGTGTCTGCCTAGCATGTGCAAAGCCCTGGATTTGATTCCCACCATGGAAGAAAGAGAAGAGAAACAGAGGAGGAGGGAGGGCGAGGGGGGGACGAAAGGGCAGGGGGAGGGACTTGGGAGGGAGGGAGAAGGAGGTCTGTCATCAATTACCCACCTAGAGCCAGAGGTGACAGCAGTTACCAGCTTTAGACAGCGGCTATGCAGTCTTCCTTCTGGGGTTGCCCACCCTCGCTGTTTGCCCCCCAGCACCTCTTGGGTCGCAGTGTCAGTGAGGCAGGGAAAGACCCAGTCATGGTCTGACACATAGAAGAGCATGGGACACCGGCCGCAGCCTCCACCATCACACAGTCAGGTTGCCCCCCTGTCTGCATCCCCAGGCCAGCTGCTCCCACACCAGCTGCAGTCAGAGCTGCTGCCAGCGGCCATGGTGTGTCCAGTGGCCATTTGTGCTGGGAGATTGAGTTTGTTGCCTGGGCACCAGATACCACCATCTTTGTTTTCAGTTTGGCGGTGCTGGGGGGGCTCAAACCCAGGGCCTTATACATGCCAGAAAAGAGCTCTACCCCTGAGCTGGACCCCCAGCCTGACACCATTTTTGAATAAGCTTGTGAAGCTCAGAGAGGCTGAGAAGCCAGTCTATGGTCAGCCCATGCTGGAGATGGAACCTCACCAGGCCTTCCGGTCACTCTCCAGCAAGCTGGACAGCCTCCCTGACCTACCCCTCCCTGCCTGGAGCCAGCACTGACTGAGATACGCCCTCTGTTCCCTCTCTGGTCCTCACAGCTGAGGCCCCTGCTGAAGCTCCAGCACCCCAATATCTCCGTGTACCATGAGATGTTTATCATGTGGAACAATGAGGTAGGTTGGAGCAGACTCCCACAGCCCAGCAGACAGCACAGAGCACTGGAGAGACTGGCATGGGTGTGACTGTAAGCGTCACACCTGAGTCTGCACTTGCCAGGCCAATACCATGCTGGGGGGGGCGTGCATAATCTCAAATGAGCCCCAACAGCCTCATCATGGGAGGGCTACCAGCCCATTTCACAGAAGGCCAGGTCTGTGGACCCTTTACTCCCATGGCCCTAAAGCAGTTCACTATCTAGCATCTTGTTCAGTACTTCCTCCTGGGAGGTCTGCTGGGTGGGAGTGCTATCCTCATCTCCTGGTGGGCTTAGAGAGGCCACGGAGAGCCCCAGTGCCCAAGCCAGTGGGTGTCTGAGTGTGGATCCCAGGTCCTGGGTCCTACTGACAACAGGACTTCTTGTTTTCACAAGGAGCTAGAGCTTTCCTGAGTCACACCCCAAGAGGGTGGGGAGGACACTGAGCATGGATGGGAGGCTGGAAGTGACAGGAGGCTGGGGACTTCTGCTGTGTGCTGGCCTTTGTCCCATCCCAGTATCCCTGCCTGGGATGACACCCCAGGGCTATAGAGGGCGGCACTGCACACACCCCCAGAATTTCCTAAGTACTCTGATGCTTATACTGTGGGGAGGGGGGCGAACTGGCCCCTGGCAACACACTGAGCCCTGGACAGTGCAGACTCAGAGGACATGGGCTGGAGCTGAGTCCTGGGGAAGGAACAGTCCCCGCAATGAGGAGTGAGGGTCCTACAGAGGGGTCTACAAGCTCAGAGCCTGGGGACTACTGCAGCTTCCAGGACAGGCCAGTGCAGTAGGGCCTTGGGAGTGGGGAGAAAACAGTAAGGCCCTCCCAGCAGGCAGTGTTCCCACAGCCACCTCAGGTGACAGCCCTGTGGAAGATGCCCTCGAGCAAGTGACCCTACTGAGGTCCCAGCCCCTGGGCGTAATAAGCTGGCTAAGAGGGCCTGTGTCCCAGCAGATCTCCTCTCTGTTCCTCTGCCTGGTGATGGAGTACAGCCAAGGGACCTTCCAGAAGGTCATTGAGAATAAGAGGATGGAAAAGGGAGTTATTGGCTCTGAGGTAAGAGATCCTGTGGCCCTAAAGGCCCCTGCAGTGGTTGATGGAGAAGATAAAGGACAGGGGAAGGCAGGCACCACTGGGGTCTGATTTCTCATGGGGGGCTGGGCATTGCACACCACCACATGCACATTTCATAGCTTGATGTATTACACATGTGCACCGGAGCACGGGGTGAGGCGTTCCTCTAATTTGGGAGGGGCCCAGGTGGGAACCACTTGGCTTCTGCCTCCAGAGACTGGACTACACTGAACACTCATCCAAGTGGGCTAAGCATGTGCAACTCATCTGAGCGCACGTCTTCCATGTAGCCCTGTGCCTCTTGGGTTTAGCCACGCTGTGATGTCCTGCCCATTCTCACCCAGCCATGTCTGTTTCACGGCCAGGAAGAGTGTGGCAGGACCACTCTGCTGTCTGCCTTCCCAAGGACTGACGGGCCTCTGGTTGCCCCCAGTCAGGGCTGTGCAGTAAGGCTGCTATGAGCTTCGCTGGACAGCCTTTACGCCTTCTTGCCTAAGCACCCAGGAGTGGGTTGCTGAGAGAGTGAGGTGTGGCTTCAGTGGGCATCCCAGCAGGGGCTGGCTGGACAGTGTTTGCTCTCCCTTTCCAACTTACCAACTGCCACTGGGCTGTCTTTTCAGCTTAAATGTTGAGGGGGCTAGCATGACTTTAATTTCCACTCGCCTGTCAATAGTCCTGGAGAGCACATTTTCTGCCTGGTTTTTTGTTGCTGTGTTCTGTTTTGAGGTGACCATGAGCTCCTTATGTAGTAAGGAGGTCCTTGAACTAAGACTCCTGCCTCCACCTCCTGGGTACAGGGATTACAGATGTGTACCACCACACAGCTACATGTTGGCCATTTGGGGAGGTCTGTGTCTGATTAAGTCTTCTGCCCACTGAAACATGGGTTGTCTTGTTGATTTGTGGATATTCTTTACAGGGTGCATACGCCAGTGTCCAGCTATCTCCACTCAGTCTGGGGCTTGCCAGTTCATTCAGTGCTGCCCTGTGACAGATAAAGATCTTAGTGTGATGAAGGCCACCTGATGGATGTCCTCCCATGGCCAGATCCTTTTAGTCCTAGCTCACACAGCCTTTCCCAGCCAAGATCATGGGGCTCTCCTCTGTTATCTACTTGCAGCTTGGTCATCTTCGCTTTCACTTTGGGGCCTGGGATCCCCCCAAGAGGAACTGAGCCTGCTTTCTTCTAAGAATGCCTCTGCTCTGTGGGCCAGGCACCATCACACCAAGGGGCTTGTGGGGCACACAGCCATCTCATCGCCTGGGCCTCGGGCAGGCTGTGGAGTGGGCTTCAGACCTTTGTCAGCAGTAGACCTCTGTCAGTGGTAGGCCCTGAGAAGCACAAATATTCCCAGGACCCAGAAAGTGAGCTGCTCTGATAGGGTGGGGAAGGTCATGGGAAAAAGCCCACAGTCCTGCCACTCTTTGGTACCTCAGGGTGGCTCTGAGCCTGCTGTGGGATCCAGAAGTCCTAGGTACATGGTTTGAAAGCGGCAGCCCCAATGCTGGGCGAGGCTCGTTGCTTCCACAGTGTTCTCTCACACACTCTCTTCACGCTAGGGCATAAAGGCGCGGGCCCTGCGGCCTTCAGCATCTGTGGGGCCCAGAGGGACCACCTCCCATGACCAGTGTGGACCATCCCAGGCACCAGCATCTCCAGCATGTCCCTGTCTCACTGGCTGCCCCTCAGGGAGCACTCAGGCCCCTTCCCACACCATGTCTCCTGTCTCCCTCAGTGGATGCAGACCATGCTGAGCCAGGTGTTGGATGCCATAGAATACCTACATCAGCTGAATATCATTCACAGGTAAGGGGCTCCTTCCTGGGCTGGCCATGGATCCCAGGTCCAGGTGTCAGTGCCCAGAGCCAGATCTGGGTAGGAGGGGGCTCCTTTTCCTCATGGCTGAGACAGGAGGATAACTCCCCATGAAGCCTCTGAGTGCCCTACTCACCCAGAGGCGCAGGGCTGCAGGAGTGCACAGGTGGGTGGGGTGGTTCTAAAGGGCAAGGAAACTGGCAGATAAGATGCCAAGGAGGAGAGGTGAGGTTGCCTGAGGTGGCATGGCCTCTGGACAGGCCAGTGTGGGCTGCTGCACCCCAGGCCCAGCCTTTGACCCTCCAGCGCACAGCCTCAAGTCCCAGATCTCTCTGTGGTGGGAAGATCTAGGAAGTGGCTTCCAATCCAGACATTCCTGTCTTGTACACATGGGCCACATGTACAAAGAAAACAGGGTGTCCGTGTTAATGTCACCAGACGTACAGAATGGTGGCTGTCTTCTCTAAAGAGGGACCTTGGTGACTGCGTGTTCATCCTCAAAGTTGGGGTCTTCCCTAATGCACAGTAACTGAGTAGATGTTATGTTTTAGGATTATTGAACAAGTTGAGGCATGCAGAGGGTTGGAACTGGGCCAGGGAAGTGGGCTTAGGGCACCAGGCATGTGCCAGCCCCACCCAAGGCAGCTGCATGGCACCAGAGCCCCCTCTTGGTTGCAGGAACCTCAAGCCCTCCAACATCGCCCTTGTCAACAACGTCCACTGTAAACTGCAGGACTTGAGCTCCCAGGCACTGATGACCCACAAAGCCAAGTGGAACATCCGAGCCGAAGAAGGTGGCTGGGGACACCCAAGGATGAGCAGCAAGGGAGGTGTGGCTCCAAGAGGACAGCAGCCACTCTTGGTTCTGGGTTCTTTGGCTCAGAATGTTCAAAGACCCCCTGCCTGGGACATAGCTGAGTAGGTGTGCCCCTTGGGGTGGTTGCAGGTACCAAGGACACCAACATGTGAAAAAGAGCCCAAGGAGCAAAGTAATGGTTGTGGCACCTGAAGATGTTAGCTCTTAGGAAGGACAAAAACTGCATGTGGGGCACAGCCATCCTCTGCGATGCTGGCACTGGCTCTGCATATTACTACAGAGACCTCAGATAGCCCAGCTAGTAAGATAAAAGGACCTGGGCTTCAAGCCTGTATCAGTTGTCCTAGATAGACAGAGCAGCCCCCCTAGAGAACTCAGAGTCCCACAGCAGCAGGCTTACAGAGGATGGTGGGGAGATGAATGGGTAGACAGATGGTGGCAGGATGGTTAGGAGAGTACACGGGTGAGTTGATTGGCAGTGCTGATGGCTTGGGTCCTTGGGGTGCAGCCTTTTTGTTTGGCTGGAGGGGTGACCAGAGGCCAGACGTGGTGTGAGGAGCAGGCCTAGCACCCCGCTCTTTTGTTCTCCAGGGTTCAGGGTTAGAAATGAGGGCAGGGCACTGGAGCTTTGTCCCCAGGACCTGGCATTCATAGGGGACAAGCTACTGAAGGGGCACACTATGGCTTTCTTGACACACGCCTTCCCCAGCTCCCTTGGCTACCACACAGACAGGCACATGGGCCAGCCTGGCAGACACCTGCTCAGGATGACAGCCTCCCTGGTGGAGACCAAGTCTCAGAGCAGTACCTCACTGCCTATAGCTGGCACTGCTCACCTCACCGGGGAGCATGACCGAAGGGCTTCCATCAAGCAGCTTGCAAGGGAGCACTGGAGAGAGAACAGTGCAGCTGGGTGTGACAACGCATGCCTGTAGTCCCAGCACTGGGAAGTTGGAAGCAGGACGATCAGGAGTTCAAAGTCGTCCTTGGCCACATAGCAAGCTCAAGGCCAACCTGGGCTACTTGGGACCTTTTATCAAAAGAAGAAAAAAAGACAAGGGAGGCAGAGGACAGTGTTGGGGCCCGTTGGCTCTGTCCTGTCTCATCTCCTCAAATGCACAGGACTCAGTCTCTCACCTTGTGCCTGCCTACAGACCCCTGTCAGAAGTCTTGGATGGCCCCTGAAGCCCTGAAATTCTCCTTCACCCACAAAGCTGACATCTGGTCCCTGGGCTGCATCATTCTGGACTTGGCCACCTGCTCCTTCCTAAATGTGAGCTGCCTGTGGAGAGAAGGGCTCCACATAGGCTTCAGAAGTCCCCTGAAAGCCCCTGCACCGGCTCCTACTCAGCCTAGTGAGGGAGCATTGACCAGGGGTCACCCTCAAGGCTGAGAAAAGCTCAGGCCAGGTGCCCTCTCTCCTCACAGGATGTAGAAGCCATGTACCTTCGGAAAGCCCTTCACCACCAGCCAGGCAGCCTGAAGCCCATCCTAAAGACCATGAAGGACAGGCATATTCCCAACGCAGAGACTTTCTGTTCCCTTCTGCCCTTCATGCTGCACATCAACCCTGGGGATCGACTAGCCATCAAGTGAGCTCAGGGCTGGGCTCTTACTAAAACCTACCAACTTACCTTTCAGCATCCACCTTACCACAGCACAGAAAACTGTCTTGGAACATAGAATTGGACTTTTCCCAACCTGCCTGGCAGCCAGCAGTCCTGAATGCATATTGGTTTTTGTTGTTGTTGAGATTGGGTCGGTCTCTGTAGTCCAGGCTAGCTTCAAGTTCATAATGATCCTCCCACCTCAGTTTCCTGAGCTCTGGAATTACATGTGTGCTCCCTCCCACACCTGGCTTGAATGTAAGCTCTGAATGGTGGTGCAAGCAGCCTACTCTTCCGTTGGGTGCAGGCGACACAGCCACAGCACCCACAGTGGTTTGAGGGACCTCGGAAAGTTTCTAATTTGATAGAAATTAGAAAATCTGTTTATATCTTTTCATGGAGGAAGGTAAAAAGTGCCAGACACAGAACTGGCCTTGGGAACCCTGGGGAGTGACAGGCCTTCAAGAGCAGGTCCCTGGAAATGGACCAACAGTCACTGGATGCACATGGGACACAGAGTGGTCCCCCACGCCAAGCATTCCAAACCAGGAAGGCTAACGTGCAGTGCCTCCTGCCAGTGGGCCACCCACAGCCCAAGGCAGACAGGATGACACCCACACTCTCTGCCCCTCTGCCAGAGACGTGATCCACATCATCTACACAAGCACCTCCTTCAGGAACTCGTGCATTGCTCTGAACCGTCAGGCAGTGCCCATGTTCATCACCGACTTGCTGCTAGAAGGCAACGTGGCCAACATCTTAGGTGCTGGTGGGGGGGTGGGACGGGTGTGCTGTGACCCTAGTTAGCATTAGTTCTAGAGGGCTGGTGCCTCCCCGTCAACTTGTTCCCAGAACTGCTGATCATGCATGGCTAGTGGATGGAAACAATTTCCAGGCTCATCCCCTGCAGGTGCTAGACAGCGTCTCTTGCTCCCCATAACCTACAACAGAGTTATTGCTGGTAGCCTGGCCCCTCCAGTTTCCTCCGTTCCTACTCTACACATCCTCTGTGTAGCTATGCCCTGCTCACTGCCTGTGTCCTCCAGCGCCCCATGCCCCTTGGCTTCCATGCCCTGGACATGGTGGCCCCAGGTGCCTTCCTTATTTGGGCTGTGCGCCTTCTATGTGCCAAGGTGAGTGACAGCAGGCCTTGTGGCTCAGGGATAGGCTTCCAGAGATTGGGTTTGATCTTAGGTGAGTCCCAGACCCTGCTTGGCTTCCTCTGGGAAGTGGGGATAGGAGTGAGACCTCAGAAGCCTGATTGCTGGATGGCTACGTCCAGTGCATCCATGGCTTGGCCCTTAGCAGGGTCCCCCCTTCCTTCCCGTAGAGGTCATGCAGAGCTTCTCCATCCATCCAGAGGTCCAGCTCAAGGCCATAAACAGGCTTCTGACAATGCCAGAGGAAGAGCTAGGTAAAGGCCTTGCCCACCCTGCCCTTCCCCCTACAGCCCCTGGAGGAAAGGGGAAGGGGCAGTGGAGAGGGGAGGGAAAGGCCAGTCTCTCACTGCAGGCTCCACTGGCCAGTGCTGCTTGGAGGTGGCCCAGAATTCTGATCCCTTGCTTACTAGCAGAGAAAGGTGGGGTAGGGGCGACTGTCTCAATGGTCCATAATAAGAAATCCATCTAGCATTCAGGAGGCTGAGGCAGGAGGATTGCGAGCTCCAGGACGGCCAGATGTATATTGAGAGAGATAAGGCTTCATTTCAAAAAGAAAAAGAAAAAAGGGGGGCATCCATCTCTTTCCTTTTTGGGGTGGTACTATAGATTGAACCCAGGGCCTCATGCATACTAGGTAGGTAGCTGAGCGACACGTCCTCAGCTCAGCCCCATTTAATTTTCTTTTTTTTTTTTTTCGTTTGAGAGAGTCTTGCTACATTGACCATGCTGGTCTGAAACTCAGTATGTAGTCCAAGAAGTCCTTGACCTTATTCTCCTCCTGCCTCAGCTTCTTGAATGGACAGGATTACAGGCATGTGCCAACCACCCATCTGCCCTGCCACCCCTACAGCAGGCATCAGGACTACTCATTTTCAACTGCATGGTGAACACACCACCTGTGCCACTAAGAAGCTTCCTGGGGAGTTTTAAATGACTGCAGACATGCTTTGATGTGTCTCCACTTAGCCTGTCCCCACCTCAAATACCATGCTGTATCCGGTCCGTCCATGCCTTCCCTCCAGCTATTTCGTCCCTTTTTCCTTCCCTCCCTGAAGTCTTCCATCTACCACCACCCACCTATGCACCTGACTGTTCTCCCACCTTCCACCTGTCTATCCTACCTATGCACCTGTCCGTTCTCCCACCTTCCACCTGTCTATCCCACCTACGTTCCTGTCCATTCTCCCACCTTCCACTTGCCTATCCACCTACGCACCTGTCCGTTCTCCCACCTTCCACCTTCCCACCTACGCACCTGTTCGTTCTCCCACCTTCCACCTGTCTATCCTACCTACGCACCTGTCCATTCTCCCACCTTCCACCTGTCTATCCCACCTATCCACCTGTCCGTTCTCCCACCTTCCACCTGCCCATCCCACCTACGCACCTGTCCGTTCTCCCACCTTCCACCTGCCTATCCACCTACTCACCTGTCCATTCTCCCACCTTCCACCTGTCCACCCACCCATCTATTCTACATATCCACCTGTCCGTTCTCCCACCTATCCCTCCACTCACCCACCTGTTCATTTATCTACCTATGTATCACCCATCCACAAAACACACTAAGGACCCCAGGGATCTGTCCCAATAGCTAGGACAGTGGAGGCTGGTCTATGGAGACCAAGTTGTGTCCCCTAGAGTCAACAGACAGCTCATATTGCTACCCCATCCCTTTTGTAGCTAGGCTATGACCAGAATAAAGCCTGGGTTTTGCTTTTCTGGGGGACAGAGGCCATGATGCCAAACAGTGGGCCATTCCCACCACCCCAGAGGCATGTCTGCCTCAGACAGCCTTGCCTTAGGGTGGGCTTGCTGTGGTCCTGTACCCTGGGCCCCAGTGTTTCTGAACTGACATCCTTATCATCAGGCAAGTCTCAAGGCAGTGACAGCCTGGGCTCTGGAGGCGGGCAGGCTGGGTTCACACAGCTGTCCAATGACCAGTCAGTGGCCTTCAGCATTCTCACTGAGGGCCGACAGCAAGGGCCTGTTTCAAGGAACTATAAGTACATGCCTTGGCAGAAATGGGCATAGTGGCATGTGCCTGTGGTTGCAGTTACTCAGGAGGCTGAGGCAGGAGAACCACTGGAGTCCAGGAGCTTCAGGCCAGCCTGGCCAACGTGGTGAGACCCTGCCCTTTTAAAAAGAGCCTTAGCAGATTACAAGCACTCGAACATGGGACTTGATCCTTCTTTGCCCTTATGTCCACCCACCCGGGTCCCTTCTGATGTACCGTGGACTCCCAGCAGCCTCTGGGCCACACAGTCCAGCTCCTCCTGCTCCTCCTCACCTGTGCCACCTTCCCCACAGGCCTGCCATGGCCCACAGAGCTGGTAGAAGAGGTGGTGGCCACTGTGCGGCAACACGAGTGTCTCCTCGACATTCTGCTCTGCACCTGCTCCCTGCTGCTGCGCGTCCTGGGCCAAGGTGGGCGGACGGCCAAGAGCCCCTCCCAGGGCCTGCCTCTCACCTGTCCCCCCCGCCCCCAGCATGGCTCTCTGCAGTCTGCTCCCTGAAGTGCCCAAGAGACTCCATCCCAGGATAGACAGGGTGTAGCCGTGAGTCTGCATACCCTGGGTCCATATCAGGCCTGACAGCTTGCCAGGGCCTTGGACAAGCCCATCTCTCGTCTGTTCCCCAGTTATGCTACAGGAGCTGGACAGAATGGTCCTCTGGTCATCACAGTAGAGGAGAGTTGGAGGGTGTAATGGCCAACGGGGGGCAGCACCATCCTAGAGTTTGGAGTAGAAGCCCAGAGCCGAGCACCTGGGCAACCACAGCTCTCTACAACAGGAAAAGTCCTAACCGGCTCCATCTTTAAGCCTGGAACACTGGTCACCCTTTACCTTTCTAGTTTTAATGCTGAGAGCCCAACTTCCACACAATTTAAACTGTGTCTTGAGGGAGAGGGCCCTGAACCTAGGCTGCCCTGTGTACTAGGTAAGCACTCTACCACTAGGCAGGAGTCCAGATAATTTATATGCAGGTATTTACCCATCATAACTGACCCAGCAGGCTCCTGGAGGCCAAAACTGGGCTGAGATGTCTACAGGTGGTCATTTTGGTCAACAACCCCCCCGGCCCCCCCCGGAGGATAAGGCAGTCTGTTTCCTAGTGGCGATGCTGTCCCCAGCTACAGAGGGGGACACCTGCCCTCTTTAGCACTCTCAGCTCTGGATTAACCCCGGTTCCTTCTCTGGCCCAAGCAGCACTGGCACATGACTTAGAAACCAAGACCCCAAGGGACAGCTCCATCATTTCCTTCCTGCTGAGTGCCATGCAGAGCCAGCCAGACTCAGAGCAGCTCATCACCATGGTCTATAATCTGCTCACCATCATCTCCAGCCAGGGTGGGTGTGCTAGCCCTGCCCTTCCCCTCTGCATGCTAGAAAGTCAGGCACACAGAAGAGGCTGCAGGAGGTAGGCAGCAAGAGGGCCTCGTTTCCCACTTGGTCAACTGTGTAGTTCTCAGTGGCTCTGCTCCGAGGCTGGTGGCTTTCATTTGCTGTTGATGGCAGGCCTGTTACAGGACGGCTTCTTCTCCATAGGTGCCAACCACATGCCAGGTATGGCCACAGGCTCACACCATCTATTTCACATCACACGCTGGGCTCTGAGGCCACCAGCCAGGCAGGCAGTAGGCAACCAGGCTAGGGGGCAGAAAGGGTCAACACAGAAAGCTGGGGACAGCAGCCAAGAGTTTCATGGCTGGGGGCTGGGCCTGTCTGCTCTCTCCATTCCAGATCTGCTGACTTCTCACCCACACAGAGCCCACCTGGAGAGAGGGAAGAGAGCTGGGAGCAGGCAGGAAAGAACAGCTAGACAGAATGGGTCAGCCCGTCGGGAAAGGGCAGAATAGGTGTTCTAGCACAGCAGGCTAAGGCCCACTAGCTGGGAAGCTTCAGCAGTTAGACGCAATCTGGTAAGGGGTCTAACTTACTGGGCGGGGGCCAGGAGACAAACAGCCCTTCCAGGGTCAGGCCTCTGTCCTTGGTTGCACAGGGGCTAGAGCTCTGACAGGAAGGGTTCCAGAACACACAGACCGCAGTGCTGGAGGTCAGTGGGGAAACGGCAATACTAAAGAAGGCATCTTGGAGCCCGTAACCCTCAGCCCTCTCTGCTGCCCACAGGGTTGGTCTCTAGAGAGCTACAGGAGGCAGGGCTGTTTCAGCTTGCCCGGGAACACCTGGACCAGTTCCACAATGACAGACACATTTGTCTCGCTGTCCTGAGCCTGCTCTGGTCCCTCCTGGTGGATGGTGAGGCCCTCCCTTCAAAGCCTCCACTGCATAAGTCCCTTAAGCACAGGATGACCTCAGCCCCGTGGGGCGTTTCTGAGAGCCCAGCACACAGGCTCAGGGAGACCAAGGTGGGGAGAGGAAGGCCTTCAGGATGCCTTGCATTCAGTCCCTAGCTCCTGAGGCCAACCAGAGGACTCAATGTCTGGTCCTGGCTTTTTATTCAGAACGGGGTTTCCAGGCCTGCACTGGGCCTTCTTGGCACTAGTGCCTAAAGGCTGCCTGGCTTAAGGAAAGGGGCTCCAAGCTATGCCAAGCCCAGAAAACCCAAGGCCTTGCTAAAGCCCCAAGTACAAACCCCCAAAGTCTCTCCCGAAGGTCATCTCACTGGCAGAGAGAACCCCCTTTTCCATCTGATGACACCTATCCAGGTGTTTCTACTCCATTGTTCTTGGTGGGAGGGGGCAGGACGGAGGGGCACAAATCCAGCAGGCCCTCCTGCTCACACCTGAGGCCTGGGTCTCCCAATCTTGTCCTGGATCCAGCTGTCATTATGAACAAAGATTCCTTGGAGCAGATCCCAGCCACAATCATCCGGGTATTGGTTACCCATGAGGAGGATGTGGAACTGGCTGAGGCTGGCTGTGCAGTGCTCTGGCTCCTGTCTTTGCTAGGTGAGCAGCCTGGGACCTTGGAAATGGAGGGGGTGACCCCAGACACATGAGGCATGGATGCCTGTACCCTGTAGGCTACATGAAGGAGAACCAGTTTGAGGAGGTGGTGGCACTGTTCCTGAGAAGCATCCGGCTGCATCCTGACAGAGTGCTGCTGGTGAACAACGCATGTCGTGGCCTGGCCAGCCTCGCAAAGGTGTCCGGTGAGTCTGGGACTTGATAGGCTGCCACCTGGGGGTGGGACAAAAGTCAACCTCAACCACTGATGTTCACCAGCTGCCCTCAGACTGGAATGGAAAACCCGTAAAACCAGGAAAAGCCTCCCAGAAGCATCACTGAGATGTCTGCCTGTGGTGTTCAGTCTTGACCACCGTCCCCCCACACTCCCCACACCACATCTGCATGGGGTTTCCTACACACAGGTCTGTCTCCAAGTCCAGGCTGTGTCAGAACCAAACTAAGCACAGGCTCAGCCATCCTCTGTAGAACACTGAGGCCTGCAGACGCCACAGTCACCACAGCATCTGGCAGGCCTGGGGCTCCACGCATGGTTTAACTGTAGACGAGTAACGACACGCTACCTGCATTCTCTCCCATGAGCCCCAGCTAATGGGTCTTGGGGGCAGCTGGGGTCCCGTCTCCTGTCCTATCCCTAACACCCTTATATGCAGCACCTACGGGGAGGGCTCAGCTCCTCTGAGGCTGTCAGGCCTGCCTCAGGTAGGGACTAGGTCTGGGCAAGAGGCCCTTCCCCTCAGGGCCTGTTTCTCTGGGGGAAAAGGGAAGAAAAAGCTGCTCCCCTCAGGTGAGGCCTGAAACCCACAGGGCTCAGGGTAACGGAATTGGCACAGGCCGAGAGCCTGCCGCCAGCGGGACCTGGGTCCTTGTTGACTGGGTAGGAAGCAGTGCAGAGCCACTGTGGGGAAGCAAGGGGGCGCGGTGTCGCCCAGCACCCTCAGGAGCCCCTCCCTGCACAGAAGGCTGGGAACAGACCCGATCAGTTCTCTCAGCAGCCTAGAGTGACAGTCATGCCCCCTCCCAGGTACACCGGGCAGAGGGCAGAGGGACCAGCCTAAGGCTGCAGAAGGGCTTCAATAAGGTAGGAATCCAGGCTCCCTTGCCTCTTTCTCTCCAGAACTGGTGGCCTTCCAGGTGGCAGTGCTGGAGGAGGGCAGCAGCAGCCTCTACCTCCTCCAGGAGATCTACCAGTTCTACAAGGATGACCCTGAGGTGGTGGAGAACCTCTGCATGCTGTTGGCCCACCTGGCCTCCTATAGTGAGGATCACTGCCATGTCCCCCTACCTGGAAGCCAGCGTACGGAGTCCTGCTCCTAGCCCTCGACAGCAGGAAGGGCGGGAGCTCTACAGTGTGGTCCCAATGCTCTTGAACTTCCCCTAACTTGTCCACACCAATGAAATTGGTGCCTGACACACCTTGTCCTGCTGGTGGGCAAGACTCCTGGGCCTCATGACGGTCTCTGCTTCACTGCAGCGGAGATCCTGCCGGAGCTGGAGTCTAGTGGCATCAAGGCATTGGTCCAGGAGGTCCAGGGGCGCTTCACCTCCAGCCTGGTAATGGTGGCACCTCTAACAAGCCAAGCTGAAGCCCTGAAACATGGGCCAGGCCAGTACCCACCCTGGGCTCCACATATTTTCCTGACTCATCCCTATGGCTGGGTCAGATTCAACCCTGAGGGGAGGGCAGTAGACCTCTTCAAAGATCCCATCCAGGAAGTAGATTGTCATGTAAGTGCTCCCAGGCCCCAGAGCACTGTGCTGTGCGGCCTCTGCTGCCCTCCCGACAGGACCTAGTTTCTTACTCGGAAGTGGTGCTTCGAGCACTGGAGGCGGCCACACCCTCCAGCTCCAAGGAGCAGCAGCAGCTTGAACTTGCTGCAGAGGAGCCAGAAGATCCCAAGGTCTCCCCACTGCAGGAAGAGCCCGTCTCTGAGGAGGTCTCCCCACTGCAGGAAGAGCCCGTCTCTGAGGAGGTCTCCCCACTGCAGGAAGAGCCCGTCTCTGAGGAGGTCTCCCCACTGCAGGAAGAGCCCGTCTCTGAGGAGGTCTCCCCACTGCAGGAAGAGCCCGTCTCTGAGGAGGTCTCCCCACTGCAGGAAGAGCCCGTCTCTGAGGAGGTCTCCCCACTGCAGGAAGAGCCCGTCTCTGAGGAGGTCTCCCCACTGCAGGAAGAGCCCGTCTCTGAGGAGGTCTCCCCACTGCAGGAAGAGCCCGTCTCTGAGGAGGTCTCCCCACTGCAGGAAGAGCCCGTCTCTGAGGAGGTCTCCCCACTGCAGGAAGAGCCCGTCTCTGAGGAGGTCTCCCCACTGCAGGAAAAGTCTGTGTCTGAGGAGGTCTCCCGCGTGGAGAAGGAAGAGTGGGTCTCCAAGACCTGAAATGTTGCTTCTCCAGTCCTGGTTGGAGGAGCAACACCACAGGCAATACCGAATCTCACACTTCTCACTGACTAATAAACAAGCCCAACACTGTTCCGGCTGGCCTGGCCTGGTGACACTAGTCCTACAGAACTTCTCAAGGTTCTAGATGACGGAAAGAAGCTGAACGTCCACAATCTCCATCTGTCCATCCATTTATTTTTTGCAGTGCTAGGGACTAACCCAGGGCCTTCCGTGCGCTGAGTAAGTGCTCTCTGGGCCACATCCCAGTCCACAGCCCCATGTAAAGCAACCATCTGCTGTTATCTAAGTGGGTGTATCTGTTCTACAGCTGTGAGGTGGGCTCATTTAAGCCTTGGGCTGTGTTCACTGGTCACGGTGACTGGCCACTTTGGACAGGTTCCTAGCGGACCCTCAGCCTTCTGCTCACATAGCTCAGGTTCACCTGTGGCCACAAGTCTCACATCATAGACTGTGAAAAGGTCCATGTGGGAGGTTGGCCACCCAGCCAACTCTGAGCCAAGGAAAGTACACAGGAGCAAGAAAGGGACTCCCAAGTCACTCCTCAAGTCCCCGTGTCTGTAAGGAGGTCCCCAAGGAGGCAGGTGCTGTGCTGGCCAGCTGTGTTAGTAGCTGACCAAGGGTACCCGGGTCCTTCAAGGCCTGCAGAACTTAACCCTCATCCACAAGAAAAGGAGCTTCTTAGGGGAAGGTGCTGAGCACTCAGGCTGAATCCACCCAAGTTTACTGTCAGAGATGGCAGCAGGGGCCACCTTCCTGACGGTCAGCAGGTGCAGATTCACCAGCACGCTCGTCCTGATGCCTGCCTCTCTCCACCCACAACACACAGCTGGCTTCTTCCCTGCAACCCCCCTGCCCAGTCTACCTGGACACACAGGGCCTCTGGCAGCAGAGTCCGGGAGGTGTTCCAGGAGCAGCTTACACAGTACACTCCTAGAGCCACGGCTCTGAAAATGCCCATGAGAGGCCCCTCTTTAGACACTTGACTGGCATCCGTGAGCCAGTCCCAACTGCCATTAGACTGAGGCACAAGGGGAGGAGCAGGACAGGGAGGAGCAGGATGGGGAGGAGCCGGACAGATGGGGAGCGCAACAATGGCAGCAGGGTGGTGCTAAGCTAAGCACGCTCCTTGCGATGGCCTTGGGTGCTGGCCGGGGGCCTCCGGGCTCCAGCGATGCTCTCCCACTCCCGCCTCACCATGACGTACAGCCTCATCGCTGCCTGGGCATCCTGGACCTGGGTGACATACAGCAACGTAGGCTCATCAGTTAGCGACTGCACATGGCCACAGGTCACAGTCTACCCTGTGACTACTAAGCCTTTATGCCAGCCATAGCTGCACACGGATGCACACCTCACAGGGTGACCGTGGTAGGACAGTAAAGGGCTGTGGCACCACACACTTCAGGCTCAGCAATGGGGGAGGGAGGTGGGGGGCAGGAGGCACAGCTGCGCCAGGCAAAGGAGCAGCGTGTTGCAGGAGACTGTTCTAGCAGACTGTGGGCCAGGAGGGCCTGTCGGGGGGACTGAGAGCCTTAGGTCTTTACTATGGTTGGGAAAAGCTTCAACTGCCACAGCTCAAGTATTGGGACCTTTCAAAGCTGGGCCAGTGGGAGGTCAAAGGGTAGGCGAGCCCTGGGATGGAGCCCTGGCACAAAGGAACCATTGGGGCAGTCAGTCAGGTCTGCTCAAGCATGCTGTTGCTCCTCCCTCCTTGGCATCCTGCCTGCCACATGATTTCTCCCATGTTGCAGGGCCTCTACTGTAGAAGGATCTACCATAAGGCCCTCAGCAGAGCCAGTGCCACAACTAGGGCTAAATGAGCCTCTTTACTTGAGGCCCCCAGTCTCAAGTATTTCATCACAGTAACAGGAAACAGACTAACAGCCTTCAATCAGACTAGTGAATTTTGTTTCAAATTCCTAAAACATAGTATTTGTGTTAAGTTCCAGCTAAATTAAGTACTTAAGATTTACTAAGCATTTTGTAAGCCTGATCCGCCCAGGCTCCTTACCCATCTTTGCTGTCATGTGACACGTGCCTGGGTTTTGAGGTCAGGGACAGCCAATAATCTCAAGGGCTGTCACTCAAGGACACTTACCGAACAGTGTTCTGCCTGTTGGACCCTGATCCCCAGAATCTTCTCAGAGAGCTTTTTCAGAGATGGTCTTCCACTCTGCAGAAGGAGAGAAGGCAGAACTGAGTCTGGGGCTTCCACAAGCTCTGCCCACGGAGGGCACTTTGCTGGAGAACGGAGGCTACTGAACCCCTTGTAAGTGGTCTGCAGGTTCCCTTCAGCTAAGAGTTCCTGTGCTGTTTAGGGTTACAGCCACTGGCCCGCTGTAGTTGTGCCCCTGCCCATCAGCCAAGAAAGGAGCAGTTAGGGGCAGGCAATGCAGCTTGGTGGCAAAATGTTCTTTATTTTCTAAAGATTTATTTTTATGTGTATGAGTGTTTTGCCTGCGTGTCTGCAAGTGGACCACATACGTGTGGTACACATATGTGCCTGGTGGCTGAAGAGGCCAGAAAAACTCAGATCCCCCGGAACTGGAATTACAGATTGTTGTGAGCGACCACATGGGTGCTGGGACCCAAACCTGGGTCCTCTACAAGAACAGAACAGCAAGTATTCAACCAGAGCCATTTCTCCATCCCGTGTAGTGCTTTTTTTTCTTTAAATTATTATTGTGGGGAGTGGGGAGGGCATACAATACGTGTGGGCAAATGTGCCGTGTGTGTTGAGGTCTGAGGACAATTTGTGAAGGGGGTCCTTTCATTCTACCAGGCGTTCAAACCCAGGTCTGTGCAACAAGCACTTCTGCATGCTGACCCATCTCAGGGGTCATACAGTATGAACAAGGCCCAGGGTTCCAACCCTAGCCCTAGAGACGAGGACAAGCAAACATCACCTTCCACCCCCGGTTCCAAGGTCTCAAAGGGGCAGTTCTGCCTGTAGCTCTGTGGCTGAATGCCCTCACCCCAGGCCTGCTGTGGAGATTAGCACACACGTATAAAACCTGCCCGCCTCACTCATTTTCAAGCCTGTGGTGCTGAGGACTGAACCCAGGGGCTTTTGGTTTTGAGAAAGGATCTACTATGTTAGTCCTGACGGGCCGGGAACTTGCAGTGTAGACCAACTTGGCCTCTCAAATTCAAAGAGATCCACCTGCTGGGATTAAAGGTGTACGCCATCACCACAGGCTCTGTATGCACCACCACCACAGGCTCCTGAGCCCAGGACTGTAACAAATGCTCTGCTGGTAAGCCATAGCCCTAGCCCGTTAAAACTTTAATGTATGTATTATGTCTGTCTCTGTCTGTCTTTTGAGACAGGGTCTCCCTGTAGCCCCAGCTGGCCTGGAAGACTCGATGTAGACCAGGCTGGCCTTAAACTCACCTTTGCCTCCCAGTATGGGATTAAAGGAGTACACCAGCTATTTTTATTGTTAATTACAGTCTGTGTGTGGACACTCTTGTAGGACAGAGGGCATCACATCCCCTAGAGCTGGAGTTAACAGGCAGTTGTAAGCTGCCCAGTATGGGTGCTGGAAATTGAACTCAGATCCTCTGAAGAGTAGAAAGTACTTTGGATTGCTGAGTCATCTTTCCAGCCCCCGGCCCTACATATAAAGATCTCCTAATTTTGTTACTGTATTTGTTTGTCTTAAGACACAGTCTCCCTCTGTAGCCCAGGCTGGCCTCTCAGAAAGCCTCCTAAATGCTGGGATTACAGACATGAGTCACTACTAGACTCACTCAAGACTCCTTTTAAAGGTTAAAATGAAAACCAAACCAAGACAAACAAAACCCCCTTTAACCAGCAGTGGGTCAGTGCCAGTGGGTCACTAGTTACCTTAACTTGTTTCTTGAAAGGCTTGTATTTCTGGGTGTCCCTCATTTTCTTTTTTGGATGATCAAGGAACAATACCTAGAAGAAAACAAGTATTTTCTTATAGAATGCCCCAGGGTACAGCACACACTTAGAAAAAAGGTTGAGCTTCTGAAAGAAATTTATCAGCCCAACTTAAGGCGATTGCCCAGTATTCAGGACCACATTAATAAAAATGAAATCTTGATACCAATGAAGTGGGAAGTCTTCCATTAGCCCACAACCAATTGCTACACAAGCTGGTTCCTCATGGAGAAGCTAAAAATGAGATTCAATGTTTACCCTGAAACCAACACTCTTTTAGACTCACATGGCCACACACATGACCCACCAGTGGGACCTGTCACCCTGGATGTAGTCTCTAAAGTGACATGCTATATTACCAGGCAGATGACTTTTGTTAATTTTCAATTGCTAAATATTTATTATCTTAATAATAATATTATTTTGGTGCTGGGACTGGAACCCAGGGCCTTGCACACACAAAGCTCTCATTCTGACACTGAGCTACATCCCTAGTCCCAAACATTTAAGAGAGAATTAAAACCCCCATCGTCGAGAGATGACTCAGTGGTTAACAGCACTAGCTGCTCTTGGTGAGGACCTGGATTCAGTTCCCAGTACCCACAGGGCAGCTAACAACCATCTGTAACTCCAGTTCCAGGGGATGCGACGCCCTCTTCTGACCTCTATGGGCATGGCACGACATGGGTGCACCCACCTACATGCAGGCAACACACTCATACGTAAAGTAAGAAAACATTAAAAAACCCATCTAGAAGCTCCTGAAACATAAATACAGCAGCACCACAGACCACATCCCATACCTACAAGATTCTGATCAACAGGAATCTAAAAGGACAGAGGCTAGAGGTCACATGCCCTAGCACTGGGAGGGGCCCTCTGAGCTCATTAACTCAAGTGGCCAATGTGCAGCCAGTATGGGACCACCCTGGAAAGGGACGCACAGCTCTATCCTGTTCCCCATCCCTGGGGAACAGCTGAAGCAGCAGCTGCTGGCTCTGTCAACTTGGGATGCTCAGCAGTGGGGTAGAGGGGGGCGTCTGGGTGTACCTCCATTGCTGTTCTAGAACATGCACCTAACCCTCTGAAGCTCAGCTCTGTCACCCACAAATAGCATAACCCCCCAGCTTTCAGCGGATTAAACTAGATCTTGGCACCACACCCAGATGGTGGTAGTAGGTGCCCCTCATGCCAAGCAGACTGGGCTCCCATTTTTCTGCACCCTCAAGTGGACCAGTCAGGCAGTTTGTCTATGATCCATGGACTTAACTGGTCCGTGGACTAAACCCAGGCTAGGTCCTCCCAAGGCTGGGCTTCCAGCATCAGAGCAATGCCCAGACGCAAACTAGACACAGGACAAGACTCCAAGGCTTTGCTAGTGTAGACAAATTTCTTATGAGGGACCCATGGTCATGGGGTAGGATAACCAGATACCAGGCCATCTGCCAGGTCAGAAAGGACGGCTTCGTAGGGCTGCTAGCTCACTGGCACGACTGACCAGTGTAGTCAGTTCCCTGGTCCCTTGGATACAGAAAGATGAGCCAGAAGTAGCACTTGTCATCATTCTTAAGAGGATTCTCAACATGAAAAGTTCAGAAATAAAAAATCCCAGAATGATGCTTTTGCAGATAGCCACGAGGCTGTGCGCACAGCTCTCGGGAAAGCTCTCGGGATGCCCCAGGCCCAGACCTTCAGATCATTGTGCAGAGCATGCCCCACCAGGATTCTGTCCCTCAGCATTTCTGCCACTTCCCTCTTCACGACTTCAAATTCTTCTCCTGAAAACCAAACATGGAAGTGGCTTTAACAAGACACATCACAGAACAAGATTCTGAGGGAAGCCCCTCCCACCCCTGGTCTGAAGGCATCAGGTCAGGCCCTTAAGGACACGGGCAATGAGCAGTAGCCCCTAGAAGCATCTCACTGGCTTCAGAGGAGGTGGGGAGACTGTGAGGAACCCTACTCTACCTTGCACTCTCTCCCACTTCTGGGGCAGTGAGGAAAGATGGAGTTCTACCACAGCCAATCATCAGGGTCAGAGGAGCAGTGCCATCTTCAGAACCCTGCTGCAGACAGGCAGTGTGTGGTGGGAACTGCAGGTGGGAGGCTGAGGGGCATTCTGGTGGGCCTCTCCTACCACACCATGCAGGCTCGGACCCTGTGATACTGGGTTAGGTAACCTTTTCCAGCCACCTCCCTATCTAGTTTCCACTTCAGAACCAGCCTCCCAAGCTCCACCCTGTTCTCAGTGTCATGGCCACAAGGAGCCTCCTGTAGGCTGCACTGGTTACAATACTGCACTAGTGTTTTCCCCAGAGACCTTGTGATCCTCCCCCAGCTGCTGCCACTGAGCCCACTGGTCCTTCACCGCCTCCCTCGTGGTCCCCAGCACCTTGTTCCCCACTGCCATTCAACAGAAAGCAACCAAGAGCACTGTCCTAGTCTAGGGGGTGGGCAGGAGGCACGGAACCACAAGACACGAACAGTATGGCAGTCAAGGAACACGCTTTTGTATCTGCAAAGCCATGCTCCTGACAGAAAAGCGGTGTGGGAAAGATGAGCCCAGCTACCACGTCCCTGCCACTCCTGCGCACACGAGGATCGTACCCTGCTTGAGGTTCTCAGGCCGTATCCCACTGACCGCTGTCCGGTAGTCTGTCACGGGCTCAGTCGACTTGACGTACTTGTCATAAACACACTTCCCATACTGGTTCACGATGGACACACGGGCCACGATGCTCTCCTCCCCCTTGGGGCCCACGCCCACCATCTCACAATCCAGGGCCAAGGCTTTTGTTAGGCTGAGGGGAACCAAAGGCCCCAGTGTAATGAATCCTGTGGCCAGGACTCTTGGGCCCACAAGACATGCTGGGCAGCCATGACTCCACGCTCACTCCATTCAATTGTGTGTGTGTGTGTGTGTGTGTGTGTGTGTGTGTGTGTGTGTGTGTCCCCTCTTCCCCTAAGAGTCCCCAGCCCCGGAAGGCAGAACATTCCCAACAGCCCGAGCCCAGCTTACCCGTTGAAAGCCTGTTCCTTCACCAGGGAGATGCTGCTCTCCTTCTGCCCCAGCCGCTTCCGTACCAGCCTGGCTGCCTCTGGGCCTATGGCAGCCTCAATATCTTTGGGGTCCACGTCATCAAACCAGATGTCTTCCCTATGAGGCAAAAACAAAGTACCTGGTCATGAGACGACCTGGGATGCTGGTGATGCTCCCCCACCAGGCCACTAGGCCCTGCTTGCTGCAGCACCTTCTTTCACTGCTGTTCTAAATACACCCGTTACCAAGATTTACAATGAATGTGAAACAGAAACATGTAACCCACCTCCAGGAGAAGGAACACTGACCTTTGCTCATTACACACTGGATTCATTACCTAACAATCAGGACATACAGGTACAAGGACCTTGTAATGGACAGACATGTGCCTTGCACTGTCTCCCACCTTTTGGAGAAGTGAGAAAGGCAGAGCCAACATGGGCACTCGCTCCATGGCTGCCGGGGAGCTCTAGCTCCTCCATGGTCTGTAACTCTAGCTCCAGGGGATCCAATGTCTTCTTCTGATCTCTGGGGGCACTGCATGACAAGGATGCACTCACACACATGCAGGCATAATATTCATACATATAAACTTAAATTTAAACCGGGCGTGGTGGCACACGCCTTTAATCCCAGCACTCGCGGGAGGCAGGCAGATCTTCGTGAGTTCAAGGCCAGCCTGGTCTATACTGCTGGGGCTACAGGGAGACTGTCTCAAAAAGACCAAAAAAAAGGCTCCTCCATGCCCCAGTGACAGGCCTCTTGCTGTGTCCCCAGGCCCTCTCCTTTACTGGTCTAACCTGACCCTTCACAGTACTAAAGGAGCCATCTGTGGGTCTCCTCTCTTCCATCAGCCTCAGCAGGAAGGGAGGAGGGGTCTTGTTATCCCTCTACTCTCGCCTGCTTACAAACGGGCCAGCCAAACCCACGTCCCTTCACCCTCTGAATGCACAAGTAGTAGGAAGCCAATTCCTGACTGATGAGCATGTCCCCTCCAGATGAAGTGTTACCACAGTGCTTGTTAAGTAGTCACAAGACACTAAGCCAAGCATGTTGTGCCTCGGTTCTCCTCACTCCACAGATGGCCACACTGAGGTGCAGAGATGCAGAAACCTGCCCAGTGCCACCAACAGGCAAGTGGTAGGACTGGGTTTCACAGGAGTCTGTCAGTCCAGCACTCGATCATCACAAGTTTTTGCTGGCACTTACGAAGTGCCCAGCTCTATGCTAGGGTCCACACACAGAGCACTGACTGTGAAACACCGTCTGCTTTCAGAACCCCACACTCTAGCAGAAACAAGTGACAAATAAGTAAACAGTAAAACAAACATGGGATTGTGAGGGAGACTTGATCAGGATCAGGGCCAAAGAGAGACAGCACCTTCTCTCACTGGTGAGTAAGTGGAGACCAGACGTACACTCAGAGCACCAGCAGCGGAGGGTGCAGCCGTCAGTACTTACTCAGTGGGTGTGGACGAAGCCAAGACCAGAGCTGCCCCCTTGGTGCCCTGCTTCTGCTTGACATCCACTTGCTCAGAAGAAATGTCACCATGTTTCCTCTTCTTGGCTCCTTTCTTCTGCTCTGTTCTGGAGGTCTTTGTGGGAGGTGCCAGTTTCTGCCTGTCCATCTTAGGTGCATCCTGGGCAGTCTCCTGGTCCCCCTTTGATCTCTTCTGCTGGGTACCATGGGGCTGCTTTTTGGCGTCCGTCTGGGAGAGGAGCCGTTTCTCTGGGGCCGGTGACTTTTGTTTCAGTAGCTGATGGGATCAAAATTAAATACAAGCTACACTTAAATTTCGAACTGACATCCTGACTGAACAAATCTGTCTGAACACAACCCCCATCATCTGCACATGCTTCTTGTCGGCTTCACCGATAGGAACTGTCCAGGGTTTGGAAAAGCACCTCCCCCCTTTTCGAGACAGGGTGTCCCTAACAGCCCAGCAGTCCTGGAACTCAGTATATAGATCAGGTTGGCCTTGATCTCAGAGATCCGCCCATCTCTGCCTCCAAAGACTGTACCTCCACGCCCTGCAAGGAAAAGCCCTTCTCATCCTCACCTTGTCACCAGCGCTGAGATTCTTTTCCTTTGCTCATTACAGTGCATAGTTTTGACATCTGCTTCTTTAGTCTACATTTCAAACTCGCATTCTACACTGTAAGTACCTGAGTGACTTAGCATCCCAGAGCACCTCAATGAGCCTGGGGATGGGGGCATTCTGTTCTTCCTTTCTTTAACTAATTTGGAGTTGAATTTAGAGTGGCGTCCCTGGATGACTGTGTCAGCTCTGAAGCACAAAGACCATTTCCTTCACAGTATCTCTAGAGGATGGCTGTAGCTTGGGGTCTGGGGAAGTCGGGGGTGTGTCCAGTGGAAAGAAAAGCTACTGTCAAACCAGAGATGGCTCATGACAACAGCCATGATCATCTCATCCAGGCAGAGGCTAAGGTCTAGAACACACCTTCCTCCTTATGCTCAAATCACCAGTAAAGACCTTGGCATGGTGATTCCCAGCTGGCAGATGATGTGGTGGGTTTCTACCTAACCTGTTCCCCTAACAGTTGAGAGCAGAAAACAGAAGCAAGAGCAAATTCCAAGTTTCCTGTGGTAAACATCAAATCCATGCACTTAATTTTACTTACTTGGGATAAAGAAAAAAAAAGATGGTGATGAGAAATCATAGAGTAGGGATGTCCACAGGGGTCTGACTGGTCTGGTCCTGTGTCCACACAGGAAAATGACCAGGAACGCGCAAACTAAGGAACCAGGTATCGAGTTACAGAGTCCAAGCTCTATAGATTCACTCTTGCTCCCAGAGGCTCCATGAGCTACACTCCAGATTATTAGGTCAACAGAGCAACCATAAAGCCAGACTGTACACACCTACACCCCAATTCTGCAATTTACTTGCTATGTGAACTTCCTTAGACCAAATACCTTAAAATCTGGGTGTCTCAATCTCCTCATTTAGGAAACTGAGACAGCAACAGCTAGCTCCAGAGAACGTAAGACGTTATGAGTGAGAGAGCACAGTGGCCCACACCTGCAATACCAGCACTCGGGCATGTGAGGCAGGCAGTGCTACATAGTGAGTTTCAGACCAGCCTGGGTTCTCCAACATGGTTTAAGATACAGGCACGGTGTACACAAGACCCATGCCAAGGAACTACTGGTAACTATTGCCAGGTGAGGGAGAGTTGATGTTCTTTAATGGAGTGCCTCGAGACAGGCTGAGTAGGCGCCAGTAGATGAACTTGCATCAAGGGTACAAACGCTTGAGCGGAGGGCTGGAGAGATGGCTCAATGGTTAGGCTGCTCTTGCAGAGGACCTGGGTTCAGTTCTCTGCACTCACATGGAGGCTAACAACCGCCTGTAATTCCAGTTCCAGGCCATCCAATGAACCTCTTCTGACTTCTATGGGCACTGCATGACACAGGTGCACTTACGTACATGCAGGCAATACATAGTCATACACATGAAATAAAGAGGGGTGGCACAGCGGTGAGGAGCACTGACTGCTCTTCCAGAGAACCCAGGTTTGATTCCCAACACCCACACAGTGGTTAACAACCGTCTCTAACTCTAGTTCCAGGGGAATCCAACGCCTTCTGGTTTTGCACATGGGTGCATTTACACACCTGCAGGCAACACACTCGTACACATAAGAAAATAAAAATATTTTAAGCAAATGCTTGACCCAGTAAGTCAACATATATGACAGAATTCATGAAATCCGCTGTCATAAGGGAGGAGGGATATGGGGGCGGGACGCAGATGGGGGAAGGAGGTCCAAATTTGATGACGATCTATTTTAGGAAATGCACAAACCCTCCAGGGCTGGGCTTTCCTTCACGTGTTCTGGGACCACACGTAGCATCCTACCTCCCTTCCAGTCCGCACTACCCGAGCAGAAGTGCTCTGCCTCACCTCTTGCAGCGTTTTCCAATTGTAAGAAAAGTCCTCTGGAGCCTTGGGCGGTCGGCCCGCGACTACTGCGGGGTGACTTCCCGGAGTCCCCCTTCCTCCTGCCGCTTTGCGCTTCTGGAACCTCTTACTGGCCTTTTTCCGAGCGACCTTCCGGACAGGCCCGGGCTGGGTCGCAGACGTGGCGGCCTTCGCCTTCATCTTCCCGCTCCCCGGAGTCCGAAAGGCCTAGGAAAGAATCAAATTAAGACAGCCACCGGAAGCGCCCTCCTAAAGGCCCGCGTGCCTCCGTAGGGCGCTCCCGAGCGCGCAGTGCTCGTCTTTTCGCTTCCGGCTGGAAACCCGACCCGCACCTCTGGTTCCGCACGTGCGGGTGTGGGGCGGAACGCTCGGCCGCACCGTACAGGGAAGCTCCCTGGAGTGGCGACCCAGGGTTGGGCTGAGGGGAGCCTAGGGCCTCTCTGAGATCAAGAGTGTATGTGTTGGGGTCGGGGATGAGGAGCAGCGTGGACGCTGGAAAGGGACTGAGGGGGGAACACTCTGTGAGCACACCCACCCGGAAGGGGCGTGGGCGGGGCCTATGCGGGCTGCACCGCGTGCTCCGTACTCTTAGAGGAAAGCCAAGGGTAGGCACTGCTGGTTTCACCCTCGCCCCAAAGCCCTAGGGCTGCAAAGGCATGCCAGCCTTCCGATTATGGTGATGAAGCAGGATTCTAATTAAGATAATGTGCAAAAATAATAAGTGACTAGTACACCTTGCTTGGTCCTGCCCTCGTGTTACTTGGTAACACAGATGAGGGCTCCGTAAGCCTGAAGCTTGCATTTGGGTTAGGGAAGGATGGAGGCACCGCAAGTCCAGAGGCCACCCTGGAAGGTCAGGGAGCACTTTGGGAAGCCAGGGACCCATGCTTACGCCTTCACCAAATTTTGTCCAGGGAGTTGGTTTTTGTTTTTGTTTTGCGTAGTAGTGATGGGGTATCCCCTGGCAGAGGTGTTTCTTCGTTTGCCTCTGTGTGTGTGTGTGTGTGTGTGTGTGTGTGTGTGTGTGTGTGCGGCATGCATGTAGTTCCCACACTTCCTGCAGCAACAACGGGCCTGGAACTTGATATGTAAACTAGGCTGGCCTTGAACTCATAGAGATCTGCCTGCCTCTGCCTCCTGAGTGCTGGGATTAACCATGTCCAGCTTGTTTGCTTGTTATGAGACAAGATCTCTTGTAGTCCAGCCTGGCTTTAAACTCTACTATGCAGCCTAGGATAACCTTGAATTATTTATTTCTATTTTGTGTGGTGTATTACTGCATATTGTCTGCATGTGTATAAGTGTACCCAAGTCCTGCAATGCCCACAAATGTCAGAAGAGGGCGTGGGATGCCCTGAAACTGGAGTGACAGATGGTTGGTAGCTGCCATGTGGGTGCTGGGAATCGAACCCAGGTCCTCTGAAAGAGCAACCAGTGCTCTTAATGGCTGAGCCGTATCTCTGGCCCCGACCTTGAACTTTTTCTTTCTTTCTTTTTTTTTTTTTTTTTTTTTTTTTTTTGAGATAGGGTCTCCCTGTAGCCCCAGCTGGCCTGGAGCTCACAGAGATCCACTTGCCTCTGCCTCCCAAGTGCTGGGATCAAAGGTCTGCACTACCATGCCCGGCTCCCAACCTTGAAATTTTTTAAATTTATTTTTCTTATTAGTATTTTGTGTGTATGATTTGAGTGTGTGAATGTGGGTACATAAGACACCATCAATGTATGGAGGTCAGAGGATAACTTTCAGGATCCTTTTACCACGGGACCTGGAGCATGAACTCAAACCATCAGGTTTTTGCAGCTTGTACCCATTGTAGCCGTTTCACTGCTCTGATGACCTTGAACCTCTGATCCTCTGGCCTCCACTTCTCAAGGGCTGGGATTACAGGAGTGTGCCATCACCTTCAGTTTTAGGTGATACTAGAGCTTGAGCCCAGGGCTTTGTGCAATCCAGGTAAGCATTCTGGCCACTGAAGTACATACCAGCCAATTTCAACTGGTGGCTATAAAGCAGATAAGACCAGTTCTGTGGGTTCAGGTTGCAGCATACCTGCATGGTCTAGGCTGGCCACTGGGGTTAGGGGTGAGTCAAGTAGACTGTCTCCAGCAGTTCCAGGCAGGTGCTTGGATGAACCTTGAGGAACTGGGAGTTGATGCTTAGGAACTTGTCCCAATGATATAGAAATAACAACTGAGACCGAGTATGAACTCTGAGGTAAAACTTTTAATTGGGGGTGATGGCACATGCCTTTAGTCCCAGTATTTGGGAGGCAGAGGCAGGTGGATCTCTGAATTCAAGGCTGGTCTGGTCTACATAGTTCCAGGGAAGCTGGGGCTATAGGAAGACCCTGTCTCAAAAGGACCCTGCCCAAAAAACTTAATTAGAAAGAAAAGAGGTTGAGGAAAAGGGAAAATTCCCGATTAAGGGAAATTTAGGCTACCTAACAACCAGGAAAAGAGCAGGCATTTTGTCAGGTTCTTTGAGGGCTCTAGGGTTTGTTAATCATGAGAGTGATTTTTTTTTTTTTGGAGGCAGAGCCTTAAGTTGTAGCCCAGGCTGACCTTGAACTATCTATGTAGAATAAAATGACCTTAAACTTCTCCACCCTCCACCATCTAGTGCTGGGATTACAGGCATGCACCACCATGCCCAGTTTATGCTGTGCTTGGGGTGGAACCCAGGGTCATGCATGCTAGGCAAGCCCTCTACTCACTGAGCTATACATTCCCAACCTAAGGATGGAGTTTTAAAAAAATCTTCCTCATGGTTTAAGGTGTTTTTTCCATGCAAGGTACAGATCAGTGACCACTTTCTTCAGACATTCCAGCATTATCTTGGTAGCCTGAACCTGTAATGGCTGAGCTATCCCTCCAGCATCTTGTATCAGGTGTGTTTTTCTCTTGTGATAAAGGGAGAAAGGGTCAGGCATGTCTATACATTATTGGCAAGTGTGATTGTTTGAATGAGAATGTTCCCCATCAGCTCCAAGTATTTGGACATTTTGTCCCTAGTTGGTTTCACTGTTTTGGGAGGTCTTAGAAGATGTGACCATGCTGGAGAAAGCACATCACTGAGGGTGGCTTACAGAGTTCTTAAGCTTTGCGGATCTCCAGTCACGCTGTTTCCTGTGCCTGCTTGAAGATGTGAGAGCTTAACTTCTGCTCCTACTCCAGCCCCCTCTGCCACCAGGCCACCCCACCATGATGGACTCTTGCCTCTTTGCAACCATAAGCTAAATAAACTTCCTTTTATAAGTTCCCTTGGTCATGATGTTTCTATCACAGCAACAGAAAAGTAATACAGTAATTGGTACTGAGAGCGGGCCATTGGCTGTGAAGAACCTGACCTCGTGGGTTTTGTGAAGAATGTAGAAGACTCTGGAAGTTTGGGCTAGAAAAGCAGTTGATTGCTGTAAGCAAAGTTTAACAGGCCATTCTAGTAGGTACCTGGAAGAAAGTAGTGTTGAGTACAATGTAGTTCCACAGGGAAATGAGAACGTAAACAGCAATTGGGATATTTTGGCAGAGTCTGGCTGGAGTATGCCCATAGCCAAAAAGCTTGCCTGAGGCTAAGTTGAAAAGCAAGAGACTAATTTCTTTGGCCGAGGATATTTCAAGGCAGTCTAACATAGGAATGGTGGTGTGGCTGTTAATGGTGAAATTATGCAGATCTACAGTGAAAAAGAGCAAATGGGGCAGAAAGAAATGCAGAATGTTCAGTTTTTTCAGAGAAAAGCTTCAAAAGTGGATGAAGCAGGCCAGGGTCCACCCCAAACTTGCAGCCAAACTTGGCAATGTCATTCACCTGGTTCTGGCTTTAGAGGCATGAAAGATGGAAGAGTGAAGGGGTCATTGGTTCTTCCTCTGAGGTCTCAGAGAGCTGCTGAGGCCAGGCAGCGTGCAGCAGAGGTTCCTCTGCATAGAGAAGGCCCTGATCGGCCGTTGCATGAAGCTGTGACGGTGAAGCCTGGTTGGCGATGGAGACCCCAAGAAGATGTTCGTGATGCCAGAGCTGTGAGACATCTGCCAAGGAGAGCTGCATACAGGGGGTGGTACTGTTAGGGTCCGAGAGTTGGGAATAATTCCCACAGACATGAAGGAAAAATGCATAAAAATTTTATTCAGAAATTTAAAGTATAAAGTAACCAAATTAGTGGCTAGCTGGGCATGGACTCTACAACCAAAGATGGCGTCCAGCCCTGAACAATAGCAAGCAGGGGCTTCTATTAAAGAACTCCACAGAAACCTGCAGGCGCCAAGCATCTTTTAAAATAATTGGATGGCCCCATATCCTGAGTATGAGGGAAGTTTTGATTGGTAGGGGCTGTCTTCAGGGCATTGGAATGTGCTGATATCTTTTAGGGCCAGAAGTTTTTGTTCATACCTTATAAGGCTTTTACATGTTTAGGGCTTGCTGAATCTATAGCTTCTGGGGGGGGGGTAGCAACTGGAAAATTTACAATATTCCTGAGCTTGTCCAGGCTTGGCTGAAGAAGCTAGCCAAATGGAGTCATGCATTCTGGCTCTTCAGTACCAGCCCAAGAGAGAGATATATGTTTCATGCAGCAAAGCTGGAGAGGCTGAGCCACGTAAGCCCTTTGGAAGTGAAGTCCCAGAAGTTGGATGTGGAGCTACTGGATTTGGTGTTTGCCCTGCTGGTTTTCAGTCTTGTTTTGGTTTGGTATTTCCTCACTATGCCCCCATTCCTCCCTTTGGAATTGGAATGGGTATTCGGTTCCTCTGTATGTTGGGAGTATATAACTTGTCTTTTGATTTCACAGGGGCTTACAGTTAAGATTTTGCTCTGAGTCTCATAAGAGACTTTGAACTGTGGACTTTTGAATAGTATTGAAACTGGTAGGGACTATGTGGACTGCCAGGTATGGTGGCACATGCCTTTAATCCCAACACTCAGGAGCCAGAGGCAGGTGGATCTCTGTGAGTTCAAGGCCCGCTGGTCTACATAGCAAATTCTAGCCCAGCTGGGGCTACAAGGAGACTCTGTCTCAAAAAGACAAAAAAAAAAAAAGACTATGGAAACTTTTAAGGTTGGGCTAAATGCATTTTGCTGGTCATGAGCCTATGGAGACCAGGGCCTGTGGTGGTTTGAATAAGAATGTCCCCAGTAGGCTCCAAGCATTTGGCATTTTGTGCCCAGGACCCTATGCAAAGTTCACTGCTGTCACAATTGGACTGCTAGACCACTCTAGCCTAGGAGGATAGATGTGCACAGCTGGGCAATTCTACTGCTATAGGACAGGTTTGGGGTGCTCTACACTGGGGACTATCCCAAACTCCTAGTAGAAGAAGCTGTATGTGTTTCCCCACCCCCACCATAGTCCTGCCCTGGGAGGAAGCACCCAAGAATAAACACCGCCTGATGTCCCGCCCAGCCAGTGAGTCTGGCCTGTCACATTCCACTGACCAGATTCCCAGTCCCCAGACCCCCTGTCCAGCCATCGGCTGCCTCTTCTAAGGATGAGCCAGCTTCACCCCTGGGTAACATGCCACCCTTCCCATGTGGTCAGTGTCAGAGGAGTCCTCACTGGTGCCTTCTTCATCCTGGGATGCTGGGGGCTCTCCGATTTCCAGCAGGTGGGCTCACAGCAGGAGTTGGTGTTGGGTCACCTGGGGGAGGGGGCTGCCAGATAGCCCTGAGTAGAATGGATGTGATCTTTCCACTGTCAGAAGAGGAAATTGGTTGACTCCCACAAAGATGGAGATTGCACTTTGTTTCAGACCTGTGTGGTGTGGTTCTTCTCTGCCTTCCTGCCTAGGCAAGCTCCCTCACGCTCCCTGTCCTCATCTCTCCTGTCCCCTTCCTCCTCCTCCTCCTCCTCCTCCTCCCCTCCTCCTATCAAATGTGCTTAAAAAAATGTGTTTTTGTTTTTCAGAGTTTTCTTCAGGCTCTGGAACCCAAGGAGGTATCATCTCATCTTGGCCCTGATGCTGCTGTGCCCATAGGTAGCTGTCTTGGTGCGCCCTGAGCCAAAGGAGTTTCTTAGACACTAGGTGAAGAACTGCAGGAGTTCCCACTGAATCAATGCTGTGAGGGCTGGGGTGACTATGGAGGGAGGAGACCAGGGGAGCTGTGTCTGTCTGTTAATTAGCACTCTCACTTCCTGCCAGCTGGATAAAAGCTGTTCTGGGTGTCCTGGCTGAGCCAGGGTCCTGACCCCAGACTTCTGTTAAGTATCACAAGGGGACTGGCCATTAATCAGCTGGTCCCTTTGGCCCATGGATGGCCTCTATGTGACTGGCTGGTTTTCAGGAACTTGTGGCATCTTGCCATGGCTATAAATATTTATTCCTTCTCTGGGAACAAGGTAGGTACTGGGTCAAGCACCCCTGGCTCCTGCCCTGAGGATCTCAGCATGGTGAAGGTTTTCCCACGGCCTGCAGGCCTGGCTTTCAGGATGCCTAGAAGCACTATTAGTAACTTTGATTAAAAGTCTGGTGGAGGGATGCACTGGGGAGATAGCTTACTTGGTAAAGTACTTGCTGTGGAAGTTTAAGGACCTGAGTTCTAGTCTCAACATCACATTAAAAGGCCAAGCGTGATAGCACAGCCCAATATGCATCCCTCCCAGACTACAGAAAAATTGATCACAAGTGGACGACTTCTACTCCTCTCCACCCTGACCACTATCCAGGCAAAGCTCTGGGGCTTGCTGGTCAGCCAGCCTAGCATAATTAGTGAACCCCCAAGTCTCTATGAAAGAGCCTGTCTTCTCCAGAAAAACTTTACCTGAAGTTGACTTCTGGCCTCCACACACGTACATCCCCCCTTACACACACACTTAGAGGCTGGCAGGGTCCAGAGGCAGGTGGGCTAGCAGTCAGGGTAGAGTGGATTAGGGGACATCCCACTTGTGACTGGCTTTTCCATGACTTAGGAAAGATACACACTGGCCAGGTCCTCCCAGCTCTGTGCTCCTAGAGGGCTAGGACCCTGCTGCCTGGCCTCTTACTCCTCTGGACTCCAAGAAGACAGCAAGCACTGACCTGGACTCCTGTGGTCCACAAGGACACTCCACTTGGGTTCTCTTTCCTGGTGGGCAGGACTCATGACAGTGCTCAAAAGCCACTTATTTCAAGGCTGAGACTACGTTGCCAGGCACTGGTCCAGCTCCTTAGCAAAGTACAAGGATGCTGGGCAGCTTGCAGTCCACACAGCCTGGAGCTAGGAAGCACTGCTAATGCAGCTCCCCGCCCGCCCCCCCCGCCCCCGTCTCACCAAAGACAGCAGTTTTGGGCCTCTCCTAGGCAGAAGGACTCCAGGGCAGGATGAGCAGGGGAGAGGGAGGCAGGTCCTGTCTCCTGCTGTACCTGGATTCACTGTGACCTGTTCCTCTGTGCCTGTGAGGACAGGTTTGGGGGGCTGTGCTTTGGAGCCCTGGGAGAGTTTTGGCCTTCACCTCCCAAACCTGCGCTGGGCCTCCTGCATCCTTCTTCACCACCTCTCTCTGGTTGGGAGCTGAGCCCTTGGAATAGGCATGAAGTTGGCCTCTTGACTTCCCAGGTCATCCTTTTAGGGCTAGCTAGCCTTTTTCAGCGACCCAGTACCTGCCTTCTAGAACCCTTGTCCTCAGCCTTCTCTTCCTCCTCCAGGTCACTCTTCCTCTCACCTCAAGAGACTGAGATGGGGAAGGGCTGTGGAGGACATTCTGCACCTGGAGCTGCTGGTGGCTGCGGGCCCCGATGTCTATCAGGCTCATCAGGAAGACACAGAGCGCTACGTGCTGACCAACCTCAATATCGTGAGTCTTAGTGGGCCAGACTAGTGTCCTAGTGACAGCCGGCTCAAGGCCTCTGGTGGGGTTGTAGGCTGTTCTTGTGAGCCTCTGGACAATGTCCACTCCCAGGGATTGCGACGGAATGTCAGTGCATTTGAACTCCACGTATTAAACTGGAGTAGAGCCCTGAGGCTGTGGGGTTTGAGGGCTCTGGAGAAGGGGGTCACTATTGTCTTTTCCTTGCTCTCTCCTGCGAGAGGCGGGTGAGGACAAGGGAATCCCTTTCAGCCCCGCAGTGCTCCATCTCTCACCTCCTTCATAATGTCCATTTGGCCAACAGGGGGCACAGTCTGCCCAGGTTGCCCTCTCTTGAGCTGGTTGTAGTTCTTGCTGGCAAAAGGACCCCCCCCCCCCCGCAGCATCCACCTCATCAGTCTCAGGGTCCAAAGTCCCCTGGTACCACACTGCCCACTCCCAGTACTCCCTCCCATTGATGAACGTGGTCTGAGTCTAGAACAAGTCCAAGTAGACTTTCTGTCTGCAAGTGTCAGAGGTGACTTTCTCAGGGAAAATTGGCTCATCTGCCACTTGGAAACCATTGTCTTCACATTTTGGGGTCCCTCCCACCAATCCCAATTTCCAAAACCCAGACTCCCTTGGGACATTCACATGGCCGAGGAGGACAGGTGGAAAAGGTCAGATTTTCTGGGACTGGAATGGCTGTCGTCATTGCTGGGCACCCACCTCAGACAGCAGATTGAAGCTCTAGGTTTTATCCCCAAGTCTGCCAACTAGGCAAAGCTTGGTCTCAGTGCTTAGTGACCTGCGCATGCAGCTAGGATGAGGCAGAGCTTGGATCCAAACGCAGACCGGAAGTCAGCTGGTTTTTTTAGTTGTTTATGAGCTAGAGAGAGGTCCAGAGGTGTGTCTGACCCTCAATAGCTGGCTCCCAGGCCAAGCACTAGCATTTCAGCCTCCCCACCACCCGAAGCATTCTTCACCACCACCATGAGGGCTTTTGGACCAGCTCTGTTCGTCATGTATTACCTCACTGTCACTCCTGTTGCTTTCCGTAGGGGTCAGAACTGCTGAGGGACCCATCCCTGGGGGCTCAGTTCAGAGTGCACCTGGTGAAGTTGATCATTCTCACCGAGCCCAAGGTGGGTACTGACCCTGAGGTCCTCTCTATTCCCTTCATCCTCTCCTGCAGAGCTGGATGCTGGCTCTCCTGGTACTCAGCTCCGAGCCTCGTGTCCCCATCTGTAATGTGGGGGCAGCAATATGGTTGTAATGAGGACTGAGGAGTGTGCCAACAGCAGCCAGCACCACCCTGCAGACTTGCCACAGAAGCAGGCTCTGTGCTTGACCCCCAGGGTGCTCCAGATATCACAGCCAACATCACCTCGTCTCTGATAAGTGTCTGTGAATGGAGCCAGGCAATCAACCCCGCCGACGACAGGGATCCTGGGCATGCTGACCTAATCCTCTATATAACCAGGTAGCCGAGCCCCCGAGGCCTGTAGTCTGCCTGGGAATGGCTGCGCTATGACTTCCCTGCCTTCTGCAAAGATGGCATGGCAGCAGTCAGCATGAGACCCAGACATCTGACTCTTTTTCTCTTGCTGAGGTTTGACCTGGAGTTGCCTGATGGTAACCGGCAGGTTCGGGGGGTCACCCAGCTTGGGGGTGCCTGCTCCCCTTCCTGGAGCTGTCTCATCACCGAGGACACTGGCTTTGATCTGGGGGTCACCATTGCCCATGAGATTGGGCACAGGTAAGTGGCCCCACCACCTGTCTCCAGACTGGCGGGGGAGCTGATCTGAACCCCAAGGTGGAGGGCTGTGGTGGGCAGCAAGCCCTTCAGAGCCTGCAGAAGGAGCCCCTCCCTGCCCCCGGCCCCCCAGCAAGGTAGGGAAATCTGATTCCTCTTGCTCACTGAGTGATTAAAAGCTCCCCCCTTTTTATTACAATCAAAACAAACAGCATTTAGAAATCTTTATATTTAACTTTCTATTTTTAATTTATTTTTATTTTATGTGTATGAGTGTTCTGCCTGCATGTATATAAGTACAAGTGTCATGCAATGCCTGAGAGACCAAAGAGGGTGTTGGATCCCCTGGAACTGGAGTTATGGATGGTTATTAGCCACCAAGTGGATGCTGGGAATTGAACCTGGGTCCTCTGCAAGAGCAGCCAGTGCTCTTAAGTGCTGACCCATCTCTCCGCCCCCAGTTTCCCAGTATTATAGGAACAATGTACTCCCTGAAACTGTATGTGCAGCCTTTATGAGTTGGCCAGAGAAGTGGCTAGGCAGAAACATAGGGTAAGCAAAAGTCAGCTAGAATAAAATGGAGTCAGTCTGGACATTTGTGCACCACCACGCCTGGCCTTTTTTTGTTCTTTTTAAAACAGGGGCTCCCTGTAGACCCAAGTGGCCTGGAACTTGCTAGGTAGATCAGGCTGGCCTTGAACTCACAGAGATCTGCCTGTGTCAGCCTCCCTAGTGCTGGGATTAAAGGCATGCACCACCATGCCCACCTCTAATTTTCTATTTTTTAAAAGATTTATTTTTTATTTTCGTGCCTATATGTGTATGCCTGTGGAGGCCAGAAGAAAGTGTCAGATCCCCTGAAGCTGGTTGCAGGTGGATGTGAGCTGCCCAGTGCTCTTAACCGTTGAGCCATCTCTCCAGCTTCTAAGTTTTATTTATTATTATTGCATGCGTGTATGGTGTGGAGTGGGTTAGAGGACAACTTTGTGGGGTTAGTTCTGCTTCCACAATTACATGAATTATAGGATTCAACTCAGCTCATCAGACTTGAGTGGTAAGGGCCATTAAACCATCTCTCCGACCAGAAAATAAATCTTACTGGGGCTGGATAGATGGCTGAGCAGTCAACAGCCCTGGCTTCTCTTGCAGAGAACCTGGGTTTGGTTCCCAGTACCCACATGGCAGCTCACCTGTCTCTGCTTCTTGAATGCTGGGATTAAAGGCATGGACAGCCATGCCCTGCTCTGCTTTTAATATAATGATATATCCTAAATGTTTCCCCCCGGTCGCTGACGTTGTGATTTGTACGCACTACCACTTGATTCCCTTCTGTTGGATACTTAGGTTGTTTCCAAATCATTGCTGTTGCGTGAGTTGTGTGTTCTTACACAAATCTTTGTTCCTGCATATGATCATTTATCTAGAGGGAGCTGTTTCATTTCTTTTTGCTTTTGGGTTTTTTTTTATTATGAAAATAATATCCAATTGTTGTAAACAGTAATGCAGAAATTTGCAGAGTAATAAGTGAAAGTTTCCCTTTTTGGAGGCTCTGGGGCGGAGGCTGCTCCCTTCTCAGAGGATCTGACGCGGCTGCTCCTGCACTCCCCTCCCGCCCCGTTCCCTTAGGCTCTCAGGGTCAGTCTGCTCAGGATGTAGGGAGGTTCTGCCCTGGGTCTGAAAGCCACTGTCTGGGAACAGAAAGGAAAATGGCCACATCTTCTCCAGCTTTTCATCCACAATGCAGCTGCAGTGGATAGGTTTCCACAAGCCGAGCACACCCATGCCACCAGCCACCAGAAGAGATGCCTTGCTGGCCCCCAAGACTTCTGGCTGGCTCCCACTTCCCACTTCTACCCCCCAGATTGGAACTACCATGGATTAGCTCGGCTGGTACATTTTAAAAGATTTTTTGGTATTTTTTAGCCAAAAGAGAAGAGAAGCACCCTGCTGGGTCAGCTCTCCGCCTCCTCATATAGGAAACGGAAGCAGGGCCTCTAGAACTCCTTTTGCTGAGCTAGGTTAGCTAATGGCAGGGTCAGGGGTCAACCAGGGAGGGACACAAAGGTGGCCCTCACCCAGCCCTAGGATTGTCTTCCCGCACAGCTTTGGCCTGGATCATGATGGAGCTCCAGGCAGTGGCCACGCCTGTGAGACCAGTGGCCATGTGATGGCATCTGATGGTGCAGCACCTGCTAGATGGGCCCTGGGGTGGTCCATCTGTAGCCAGAGGCGGCTGCAGCACCTACTCAGGTATGGCCGCCGCTCAGCTAGGGTCGGCTGTCAGTCTCACCTGACCCAGTGGCCTGTACCCCAGCCCATTCTGCCATCCTTTCTTCCTGTCCCATAACCCACTAGAGTCCCCCATCAGTCTGTCCCCTTCCACTCTTCCCTGTCTCTCATTCCTTCCCGTTTTCCTGCATCCGCCCCTCCATCTCACTCCAGGCCTGGGCCCATCCCTCAATTTCCCTTTGTTCTTCCCCCGCAGCCTACTTCTACCCTCCATCCCCCAATGTCCCGTTGTTCTGCCCACAGCCTACTTCTACCCTCCATCCCAGGCCCTTCCCATGGTCCCATTCTCCCGGTTCCTCTTTTGGCCTTCCATCTGTTCCATCTGTACTCATTTCCACCTACTGGCAGCTCTGTGTCCACTCCTCCACCATGACCCCAGTGGTGTCCACCTGGGTTCTGAGCCCTGATCTGTTTGCAGCACAGGGCGAATGCACTGCATGTGGGACCCACCGGGGCTGCAGTCTGGACCCATGCAGCACCAGCTGCTTGCAAAGCCCGGCCTTTACTACAGTGCGGATGATCAATGTCGCATCGCTTTTGGCTCCGGGGTTGCTGCTTGCACCTTCTCCAGGGAGGGTCTGGTGAGTCTGCCCTTCGCCAGCACCCAGGTCCGCCCAAGTCTGCTCACTTTCCCCTGGTGCACTGACCCCCATCTGCTGGGCACAGTTGAGGACCACACCGCAGCCTATTAGGTTTAACGTTCGCCATCTACTGCCCACCACCCTGAACGCTGTGGTCACCTTTTAGAATTCTTCAAAAAATGATTTTTATTTTATTGTTATTTGTGTGCGTGTGTGTGCATGTGTCCCTGCACATGTGGCTCATAGCGTGCTTGTGGAGGTCAGAGGACAACTTTAGACAGTCAGTTTGTCCCTTTCGTTGTGGGCTCTGGGAACTGAACTCAGGTCAATAGGTTTGCCTTGCAAGTGGTTTTGCCTATCTTTCTGGGCCTCCTCTTGGGATTCTTAAAAAGCCCCAAGTTTAATCTCTAAGACCACAGAAACTAGGTGTGATGACACATGCCTGTACTCTAAGCACTCTGCAGGTGGAGGCAGGAGAATTACAAATTCAAAGTCACCCTCTGCTAATAGGGAGTTCAAGGCCAGCCTGGACTAGAGACCCATATCCAAAACCAAATTAGTTATGTTTAGTATTTTTGTAAAATGTAAAAAGCTGTACGTTACTGTTTATTGATATACTAGAACATTTATTTTTATTTAAAAGTTCATTTTTTCATCTGATTTTAGAAGAGGTTAAGACATTTTTATGGGCCCCTAGAAGCATGGTGGGCCTGGCAAGGGTCGTGCTTCTGGTGGGTGAGCCAGCTGTGTTCTGTTCTCCCAGGCCCTCGCCAGAGCTGGGTGGCTGCATCAGAGGGCCCTGTGGTCTGGGAGGGGCGCTGAGCGGGTGTCCCTGAGTGGAACATCTGTCCCCCTGCAGGATGTGTGCCAGGCCCTCTCCTGTCACACAGATCCCCTGGACCAAAGCAGCTGTAGCCGCCTCCTCGTTCCTCTTCTGGAGGGAACAGAATGTGGTGTGGAGAAGGTCAGGACATCGTGAAAGATGGAGTGTGTGTGTATGTGTGAGTGTGTGTGCATGTGGGTATGTATGGGAGTATGTATGTGCATACGTATATGCATGGGTGCACGTGCATGTGTGCATGTGTATTTGTGAGAATGTGTGAGCATATGTGCATGTGCATGCATAGAAACATGCACATACGTGAGCATGTGTGTGCATATGTTCTTGCATGTGCATGTGTGCACATAATATGAGTGGATGGGTGTGGCACACATGTGAGCGAGCATGTGTGCACATTTATGCTCGTGCATGTGTATGTGTGTGCACGTGTGAGCAAGTGCACACATATGTTCACACATGTATGCATGCACATACTGTGTGAGGGGGTGTGAATGTGCACGCACATGTGTACGTGCATATGTAGGTGTGTGTGTGTGTGTGAACCCAGAGTCCCTCCTCAGCAACCTCCTGCTTTTCCAAGTGGAATTTATTGAACCCTCACTACAGGACACTGTACCACAGCCCACCCATCCCCTCCTCCAGCTCCGGATTATATACAGAGAAGGGTTTTCGGAGTGACAGTGAGGCCTGCGAGTTCCCATCCAGATGCCCCTGCCCTCATGGCTAGCACCATCTCCCTAGGGCTAACCTTCCCTTCTCCCTGGGCAGCTGCACCCGTTCTCTCTCCTGTGGGCTGGCAACCTGACCGCTTCTTCCCTTTTGCTCTGAAAAAGACCGAAGAGTGTGAGTGTGCCTGTGAGGGTGGGACTCCGTGTTGGGGGTCCCTCTGTATGAGGTCCCTGTGTGTGCTGAGGGTTTCTGTGTATCAGAATTCCCTGTGTGTAGCCCCTGTGTATTGGGGATGGTCGATGTGTTGGGGAGCCGCCTGTCATGAGGTCCCTATGTGTGTTGGAAGTTCCTACGTATGATGGGAGACCTTGTGTTCTTGGGGGCCCTGTATGTTAGGGCCCCTGTGTATGCTGGCTGCATCCTTTCTGTGCTGGCGTCTCTGTGCATCGTGGGTCCCAGTGGGAGTGCGAGACAGAGCTGTCCTGTCTTGCAGTGGTGTTCCAAGGGTCGCTGCCGCTCCCTGGCAGAGTTGACCCCCGTGGCAGCAGTACATGGACACTGGTCTAGCTGGGGCCCCCAGAGTCCTTGCTCCCGCTCCTGTGGAGGAGGTGTGGTTACCAGGAGGCGGTGGTGCAATAACCCCAGGTACCTACAGGGTGGTTTTCCAGGCTCAAGGGTGGCCACGTCCCCTTCGCTGCCTACTGCAGTGCAATGTCTCTTTCCCCTCCTGTTTCCTGCACATTTCCAGACCTGCCTTTGGGGGGCGTGCGTGTGTGGGTGCTGACCTCCAGGCAGAGATGTGCAACACTCAGGTAAGCCGACTCCCAGCTGGGTGGGTGGGAGTTAGCAACTGACCTTTGGGTTCACACCTCCCTTTGGAGAGGGGCACTGAGATGACACAGCATAAACCAGGACAGTCCTGCTGGTGACCAGCAGAGACCATGGAGACGCTTCCCTCCCTGAGTGTCATTTCATCCTCTAATGACATCTTTGTGATGAAAACTGACCCTGAAGGTGTGCCTGGGAGTCATGGCCAGAACCGTCCTTCTGTTTCTATGCTGATGTGAGCTGCCTTGACAGCCATTCAGAGTGCAAGGTGCAGAGGCCTTAGCATGCTGGCAGTGTTGTGTGGTCACCGCCTTTCGATGGCCCCACATATTTCTGTCACCACAGAGGAGCACCCCACACCAGTAAGCAGCCTCCCCTCTCCGTCCCAGCAGCCCTGACCTGCTTTCTATCCTATGGATCTCCGTGTTCTGAACATTTCGTGTAGGTGTCAACATCCTGTACCTGGCTGTGTTCACAGAATGTAACATTTCCAAGGGTCATTGGTGCTGGGCCATGACTCAGTGCTGCAATTCCTTTCAGGGCTCAGGCGCATTCTGTGGTATGAACACAACAATTTTACTTTTCTATCACCTGTTGATGAACCTTTGGGTTGTTTGCACCTTTTGGCTACAGCCAATCCAGCTGCTGCACATGAATCTGGACACGTGCCTGTTGGAATTTTGGTCTTCAATTCCCTTTGGCTATTCACCTGTTTTAGTCTCTGGGCTATTGAAACAAAACACCACAGTCAGATAATTTACAAACAACAGACATTTATTTCTCATGGTTCTGAAGTCTGGAAGCCCAAGATCAAGGTCCCAGCAGACTTGGTGGCTGGTGATGGCTGCCCTCTGCTTCCCAGATGGCACCTGTTGCTCTGTCTGCCGAGGAAAGGAATTCTGGGCCTTCACATGGCACAGGGGACAGAAGGAACTCTTCCAGTTGAGCCCTCCAGCCCTTCATAAGGCTGCAATCCTATTTACGAGAGCTGAGCCCTTGAACTCATCACTTCTCAAGGCCACCCTCCTGGTACTGCTGTGTGGGGCATGGGTCCTTACAGAGCAATGAGGTCCCTTAAACCCTGAGCTATCTCGCTGGAGCCCATCCCCACCCTTTTGAGAAAGGGTTCATTGTATAATCTTGTCTGGCCTGGAACTCAGTATGTAGGGCAGGCTGGCCTTGAACTCACACAGAGGTCTGCCTGCCTCTGCCTCTTGAATGCTGGATTTATAGATATGCATTGCCACACCCAGTTTTATGTTTAACCAAACCATTTCTCATAACACGCAAACCATTTTGCCATTTTGTAATCCCTTAGTGTGTGAGGTGTCCACTGTCTCTTGTCCTGTACAGGCTTTTTTTTGGTCTTTTTGAGACAAGGTCTTCCTGTAGCCCCAGCTTTCCCGGAGCTCACTATGTAGACCAGGCTGGCCTTGAACTCACAGAGATCCGCCTGCCTCTGCTTCCCGAGTGCTGGGATTAATGGTGTGTGCCACCACACCCAGCTTAGACTTTTTTTTTTTTTAAAGTCTAGCCATTGTAGGTGGCATGAGGTGGTGCAGTGAGTCTTTTTTCCATTGAGTTAGAATCTGTCTGGCTGCAGATGGCTGCTCACTGCAGCGACACTGTGCACGCAGTCAGACACCCCAGCCTCCGTCCTTCACCTCCTTCGGGCAGATGTCCAAGGCCCCCCCTCACCCTGAGATGAGGGTGGCCATGGTCCTCACCTCTGCCCAGCTAGTCAACTTCAGTGCTTTTCTCCCTGGTGCGGTGGGGCAGTGCAGTGCTTCCGGGGGCCCTGGAGCTTGGGTAGTGAAACCCTCTGCCACTGGAGCGTTTCCTCAGGTTCAGGACTCTTCTCTTTCCTACCTACTGCTGCTGAGTCATCTGCAAATTCTCTGGTATTTTCCCCTCTGCAGAGCGAGGCAGGTGGCCTGGTCACCTGCAGTCCTCAAAGCTGAGCTGAGATGTAGCCCAGGACTGAGTCACCCCCATGTCTTGACCCTGCAGGCAGGGTACATGCAGTGACAAGGGCCCCACCTGTACCTGCCCTCTACCTCCCCTGGCCAGGCTTGTGAGAAGACTCAGCTGGAGTTCATGTCGGAGCAGTGTGCCCAGACCGACAGCCAGCCACTGCACCTCTCCCAGGGCAGCTCCTTCTACCGCTGGAGTGCCGCTGTGCAGTATAGTCAAGGTGGGCTTCGGAGAGGGAAGACAAAACCCTCTGCCAGGCAGAACCATGGGGGTTGGCCAGTGTCTTAGTTACTTGTCTCATCACTGGGATTAAATACCCTGACCATAGCAACTTCAGGAAGGAAGGGTCTATTTTGGCTCACAGTTCCAGGATGCCATCTGTCAGGGCCACAGTTCCAGGGTGCCGTCTGTCAGGGCCACATTGCACCTGCAGCCAGGAAGCAGGGGAGATCAATGTTCAGCTTTCTTTCTCCTTTTTAAAAATTTTTTTTAAATTTTATGTGTATGAGTGTATTGCCTGCATGTATGTAAGTGCACCCATGTTGTGCAATGCCCATGGAGGGCAGGAGAGGGCATCGGCATTGGATCCTTGGGAACTGCAGTTACAGACAGTTGTTTGCTGCCATGTGGGGGTTGGGATTCCAACCCAGGTCCTCTGGAAAAGCAGCCAGTGCTCCTAACTGTTGAGCCATCTCTCCTGCCCCCTCGCTTTCTCCTTTTTATTCAGTCCAAGGCCCCAGTCCATGAAATGGTCTTGCCCGATTTTAGGGTGGGCTTTCCCACTTCTATTAATCTAATCAGGTTATGGCCAGAGTCTAACCTAATCTAGATTATCCCTTCCCAGCATGCCTAGAGGTTTGTCTCTGTGACTGTAGAGCCCCTCAAGTTGATAACCAGTGTTAACCATCACAGCCTTTAATCTATCACTCTAGTGCTGGTTGGAGCAGCCTGGACTCTGGCTCTGGCTCCGGTATTGTTCTCTGTGTTGGCCCAGCAGATGAGCAATGAGGTCCCATTCAGAAGCAGTCCCTTCTGGCCCTGCTAGAGGAACTGAGGGAGACACTTCGAGGGAAATGCCAGTGGCTCATAATTCAGCAGTGCGCAGCTCTGGTGGGACAACCCACTTGGGGGCTGCGGCAGTGCACTCCAGAAGACTTCCAGCCCAGCTTGCTGCCCTTCTTACCCACCTTCACACATCAGGCTTCCTTGTCCTCCCGCCCTCCCAGGGGACACTCTGTGCAGACACATGTGCTGGGCTGTTGGAGAAAGCTTCATCGTGAGACGTGCAGACAGTTTCCTGGATGGGACCCGGTGTGTGCCGAATGGCCCTCGGGAGGATGGTACCCTGAGTTTGTGTGTGTCCGGCAACTGCAGGGTAGGTGTGTGGACAGCCCAGGCACCTTCCCCTGTCCCTGTGGACTCAAGGCCTTTCTGTCGCAGTAGAAGGCCCCTGGGGGGTGGGCAAGTCTGTGGGGCTGGCTTGATGCAGCTGCTTGTGATCTGCTGGGAAGTGTTGCTGGGAACAGGCTGCAATGTGCAGTCAGCCTAGGTTACAGTCCAAGCTGTGACCTTGGGGCAAATCATGGGCGCCTTCTAGGCGCTGTTGCTGTGTAGACCACTGGAGCTGCAGGGATGTTGCAGTGGGCAGGGAGATTGACACACCAATAACACAGGCTTACCAACACCCTCTTTGCACAGACGTTTGGCTGTGATGGCAGGATGGATTCCCAGCAGGTTTGGGATGCGTGCCAGGTGTGCGGAGGAGACAACAGCACTTGCAGTTCACAGAATGACTCTTTCAAGGCTGGAAGAGCCAGAGGTAGGGCCACCCTCACCTGGAGGCCAGGCTTCCCAGCATCTTCAGGGACCCAGAGCCTCAGCCTGCTGCCCAGGCCACAGCACCCACGGGCCAGGTCAGCCTGAGCACCCCCTGCAGGCTTCAATTCATTCTTCCCTCTGTGTTACCCTCCCACAGCTCAGACTCCAGTAACGCTGCCACCAGGATTGTAGCACCCCAGTAGTCCCTAGCTGTAGCTGTGATTAAAGAAGGAGAAGATCCTGCAAGTCTGTTAGGCCATCTCTTCTTTCCCACTTAGAAATCCCAGCAGGAGGATGTGGTAGATCTTCCTTGACTTTGATCTGTTTAAACAAAGAAGCGAGGGGCTGGAGAGATGGCTCAGCTGTTAAGAGCCTTGGCTGCTCTCACAAAGGACCCAGGTTCCATTCCCAGCACCCACCTTTTGTAACTCCAGTTCTAGGGGACCTGACACCCTCTTCTGACCTCCGAGGGCATTGAACAACACGGGTGTGCTTACATACCTGTAGGCAATACACTCATACACATAAAAATAATAAATAAAATATTTTTAAAATGAAATAAAATAGCCAGGCATAGTGGCACATGCCTTTAATCCCAGCATTCAGGAGGCAGAGGCTGGTGGATCTCTGTTAGTTTGAGGCCAGCCTGGTCTACATGGAGAGTTCCAGGCCAGCTGGGGCTACAGGGAGACCCTGTCTCAAAAAGACAGAAAAAAAAGAAAGAAAAGAAATGAAAAATGAAGTAAAATCACTGCCAGCTCAGGGTTCCGTGGCTCCACGGTCAACAAAGTACTTGAGCATTGCCACACCGCCCCCCAGCTGTGTGGGCAGCTGAGAACCTTGGGTCCAGGCCCTGCTCCTGGCTGAGGCGGTGTCCTTGTGGATGGCCCTCCAGCCTGGTCCTGCTCTGCTTTTCTCCAGAGTATGTCACGTTCCTGACAGTTACTCCCAACATGACCAATGTGCACGTCGTCAACCGAAGGCCTCTTTTCACACACTTGGGTGAGCTGACTGGAGGACCCTTACCTGTACTTAGCCACATACACCTTAATCTCTAAGATGTCCTTACTTCTGACACTGACTGCAAGTTGTGGGGTGCCCCAAGCTGCCTGAGTTAGCTAATCCTCAAGGAGGATTCCTGGAACCCTCTAAGGGTAGCTGCACTCATGGCTAAGTGTATCCAGGGAGAGGGAAGGATGCAGGGTGAGAATCACGTGAAGGACTATGCTTGACAGCTCCAAGACCTTTCAGCACAGGGCTGGCCAGCCCAAGAAGCTGGCCCCTTTAGTGTCTGGCTTTTCAGTGGACTTCCCTGGAAGACCCTGTCCCATGAGTGCTCTGCTTCATCTCAGAAGCCAGCTATGTCCTGTTCAGTGCCACTATGGGTCCTGGGGATGCCTGGGGATACCCTTGAACCTGTGTAAAGGATGTTGGCCCAGGGTCCTTGAGCTCATGCATACTGAGTGAGGGCAGAGGTCACAGCCCTCGCCAGCTTCCAGATTCTTGGAGCCACTATTGTGGAGGAAGGGTTGTGTGTGTACATAGTTAGAGGTATGCATACAGAGGAGGGGTTCTCTCAATGAACAGGTCACTAGACTGGGATACCTTGGGTGAGGGTTTGGGACCCTGGGAGGAGCCAGGGCCATGGTGTGGGGGATCAGACCCTGTTGGCAGAGGCCCTCTTGTACCGCGTCCTGCTGCCTTCTCTACCTCTTCCCTGTGAAGGATGGTCCTGTCCCACTCAGTGGACCACTGGCCTGTGCGGAGGGATGATAGCCACTCCACAGTGCTGAAGGCCTTGTTTTTCAGCGGTGAGGCTCCAGGGCCGCTATGTTGTGGCAGGGAAGACCAGCATCTCCCCCAGCACTACCTACCCATCCGTCCTGGAGGACCACCGAGTGGAATACAGAGTGACTCTCACTGGGGACCGGCTGCCCCACCTAGAGGAGGTCCACATCCGGGGACCCATCCAGGAAGACATGGAGATCCAGGTCATGCAACAGGCAGGCCGGGGAAAGCCAGCAGCTTCTCCCGGAGGCTGTGGATGTCTGCTTATTTGTTCACTCATTCTTTTTTTTATATTTTGTTATTTTTATGTGTATGAATGTATTGCCTACATGTATGTAAGTGCACCCATGTCATGCAATGCCCGTGGAGGTCAGAAGAAGGTGTCAGATCCCTGGAACTGGAGTTACAGACGATTGTTAGCCGCTGTGTAGGTGCTGGGAATCGAACCCGGGTCCTCTTCAAAAGCAGTCAGTGCTCTTAACCGTTGAGCCACCTCTCCAGCCCCCGTTCACTCATTCTTTCTTGCAGTCCTTTGAAGGTGAAGATGCAACAGGAGGTGCTCACAGGCTCAGTGTGTAGCAAATCAGCATAAAAATATGCCTGTGTCCAGAGTGTATAGGAGCAGCCTTCGAGTGAGAGAGAGGGTAGACCTCATGTCATGCGGGAGCCAGTCAAGGCTTCCCAGGAGAGTGTGGCAGAGCAGAGGGACTGGCCACAGACAGTTCTCCACACTAAGGAGTAGGCAGAGCAAGGTCCACCAGCTGGAGCATGGGGCCCTTCTTGGGATGGAGCTTGGCTCCTGCTGCTTCTTTGGGGCAGAGACAAACCCTGGAAGCTTTCATGTGGGTATGTCTCTAAAGACCTGGTCTCACCTTCGAATGTCCCTGTGTGTGCTCTGTCGGGACAGGCATATGTGGGTCGACTGAAGCTGACATGGTCTGAGCTTTGATTGTGCTGGCCTCACTCCCTACCCTGGCCCGGACCCCCTCTGCTGGACCACCCAGCCCTGACACTGCTCCTGAACCCCTTGACTGGGGTCCCCCACCCCATCAACCTACTCCCCTAATGCTCTGCCCCGCCTCACCCAGAGCTTCTTGACACTCAAATCCTGTCTGTGGCCTGAAGCCTGGGGCCATGGAGCTGGAACACTGAAAGACTTCCTGGGACTGTGACGGAGACCCCAGGGAGCATCCTTAGTCAGGGCCCGAGCTTTCATGTGTCCTGATGCAGGTGTACAGGAGATATGGAGAGGAGTATGGGGACCTCACGCGCCCAGACATCATCTTCACCTACTTCCAGCTGAAGCAACAGGCAGCCTGGGTGTGGGCCGCCATGCGCGGGCCCTGCTCGGTGAGCTGTGGGGCAGGTGAGGCCCGGACAGGGCTTGCCCGTAACTCTGCTGGACCCTAGTTAGAGGTGGCTGAGTCATCACTCTGCTCCCAAAGGGCTGCGCTGGGTGACCTACAGCTGCCTGGATCAAGCCCAGAACAAGTTCATGGAGACTGCTCAGTGCCAAGGGAGCCCGCAGCCACCTGCATGGCCAGAGCCCTGTGTCCTTGCACCCTGTCCCCCATAGTAAGTACTGAGGTGGGTGTTCACTTGACTTGTGAGGTTCTCATGGCCTGGGCAGGTGGGGCAGTACCTGTATATTCTCTTCAGTCCTAACTGCAGCTCTGTGGGCTGGTCTCTTTTGGTGTCCCCATTTTGTGAGTGAGGACACCGAGACTTGGGACACACGTGTCACAGTGGTAGCCTGGTATATGATTATTTCTGCTGCCACCCTATCTGGGTGACCCAAGACCTCTCTGAGCTCAAGTGCTCATTACAAGATGGTAGTGGCCACTCTACCTGGGAGGATGATGGGAGGGTCTGGTGGGAAGCACCTGGCCTTCACTGGCCCCTACCAGAAGCAGTCAGTAGCACAATACTGTGAGGACAAGGCTGTTCTTGTAGGGTGTAGGGCTGGGTGGTCACTGGCCAGCAGTATCGAATGCCTGGCCTCGGAGTCTGATGTGTGTTAGGGCAGTTTTCCAAGGTGGTGTTCTTGGAGAACAGCTTGAGGACACAGGGACTGGCCTGGATCAGAAGTGTGTCAGCCAGATTCAGTGGGACAGACCTGCCTGAGCCAAACCAGCGACCTGGCCCTGGGGCCTGATGTTCTGTCCCCTTCCTTAGCTGGACAGCTGGAGACTTCGGCCCTTGCAGCCTGTCCTGTGGGGGAGGGCTTCGGGAGCGGCTGGTGCACTGCATGGAGGCCCAGGACGGCTCCTTAAGGATGCTACCACCAGCCAGGTGCAGTGCAGTAGCCCAGCAGCCAGAGGCAGAGGTGGAAGTTTGCAACCCCCAGCCCTGTCCTGACAGGTAAGCCTGTGGAGGGGTCAGCAGCAAGCCTTCTAGGTGGGACCAGTCCCTGCACCGGTCCCTCCTCTGTGGAATGTCCCCCAAGGGCTCTGGCCAGCACCATCTGGGTGACAGACAGTGGTGCCTGGTGGTATAAATGCGGTTTTCCTGACTGTTCAGGAATCCTGGGCTGCTCATCTCCCTCTTTAAACTTCCAGCTGCTGCTGTGACATGGGGGTGAGGCCCTGACACGGAGCACTGTGAGGACAGGTAGCACTATGACTAGGAATCACGTGTTGGTCATCACCGTCATCTCTTCCCTGGTGACACAAAGGGCCACCTCATTCCTTTCGTGTCTAAATTGACATGGCTTATTATTATTAAGTGTTTTATTGTTTTATGTGTATGAGTGTATTGCCTGCACATATGTAGGTGCACCCATGTTGTGCAATGCCCTTGGAGGTCAGAAGAGGGCATCGGAGCCCCTGGAACTGGGATTACGGACGGTTGTTAGCTGCCATGTGGGTGCTGGGACATGAACCTGGGTCCTCTGCAAAAGCAGCCTATGCTCTCAACCTCTGAACCACCTCTCCAGCCTATGACTTATTCCGCTTGTCATGAACTGACTGGATGACCAATATGAGCTGCCGCCTCCTTCTCCGGCTCCAGGCTTGTTATCTGTCCAATGGGAGGGACGTGGGCCCACATCGTTGGTGGCCCCTTCCTCCTCTCTCCCACACCATCGACATAGCACTCCTGCTCTTGCCTGCGGAGGTCTGATCCAGGCTCAGCATCCTTTCTGACTTGGTGTTCCAGGCAGCCGCTGTGCAGGACTGGCGTTCAGTGAACGCTTTGCTGCTCTGGATCCAGTACTTCAATTGCACATGGCACCTGTTTCTCATCTCCTGCAATGGGACATAAACTACATTGTTAGTGGGTCCCTTCTGCAAGTCAGTTTGGGGGGCTTGATTTTCCCAAATCCTGGCATCAGGTGAAGTTTGTCATTGTCAGGCACAAAGCTATTTTTTAAAGCATTTTATGGTTTTCTTTTCTTTTTTTTTTTTTTTTTTTTTTTTTTTTTTTGTCTTTTTGAGACAGGGTTTCTGTGTAGCCCCAGCTGGTTTGGAACTCACTATGTAGACCACGCTGGCCTTGAACTCACAAAGATCCGCCTACATCTGCCTCCCAAGTGCTGGGATTAAAGACATTCGCTGCCATGCCTGGCTTATTTTATTTTATGCGTTTGAGTGTATTGCCTGCATGTAGATAGGTGTACCTGTGTCGCACAGTGCCCACAGAGGTCAGAAGAGGGTGTTAGATCCCCTGGAACTGGAGTTACAGACGGTTGTTAGTCACCATGTGGGTGCTGAGGACTGAACCCTGGTCCTCTGCAAGAGCAGCCAGTGAGTCATTTCTCCAGCCCAAAGTTTTTGTTGTCGTTGTTTGTTTTTTGTTTTTTTTTTTTTGGTCTTTTTGAGACAGGTCTCCCTGTAGCCCCAGCTGGCCTAGAACTTACTATGTAGGCCAGGATGGCCTTGAACTCACAGAGATCCACCTGCCTCTGCCTCCTGAGTGCTGGGACTAAAGGTGTGTGCACCACCATGCCTTGCCCAAAGTTATTTTTTTTTAACTTAAAAAACCTTTATTTTATTTATTTATTTATTTTTGGTCTTTTTGAGACAGGGTCTCCCTGTAGCCCCAGCTCTCCTGGAACTCACTATGTAGACCAGGGTGATCTTGAATTCACATTTTTATGTGCATGAGTGGTATGCCTGTGTGTATATAAGTGCACCTGTGTTGTGCAATGCCCATCGAAGCCAGAAGAGGGTGTTGAATTCCCTAGAACTGGAGTTAGGGACCATTGTTAGCCATCATGTGGCTGCTGGGGTTCAAAGCGAGGTCTTCTGTAAGAGCAGACAGTGGTTTTAACCACTGAGCTATCTCTCCAACCCAAAGCTGTTTTTTCAATCTTTAAATTGCATTTTATTTATTTAGTGCATATGTGCACACTTCATTTAGTGCACACACGAAGATTAGAGGTCAGAGGAAAGCTTTCAGGAATTGACTCCTTCCATCGTGTGGGTCATGGGGATGGAACTCAGGTCATCAGGCTTACGGGGCAGGCGCCCTTACATGTTGGGCCAGGATAACGCAGAGTTGCTGTGGAGGCCTAATGAAGAAAACAGTTAACTCAGCACTTCAGGGGAAGGCCTCTGAGTGGGAACAAGATGCAGGGACACCTGCTCTGCCCTCAGGAGCTAGGCTGCACCTCCAGCCAGACAGCAGAGGCAGGGCCTGACGACAGTGCTGTGCTATCCTCAGATGGGAGGTGTCAGACCCCAGCCTTTGCTTGTCGGCCTGTGGAACAGATCTGGCCTTGAGGAATGTGACATGTGTGTCTGGGGCTGGTGGCCTTGAGATGTCAGCGACTTCAGGGCCCTGCCCCACAAATGAGACAACAGCTGCCCTGAAGCCCTGTTTCAGGAAAGTGTGCCCTCCAGGCTGGGGTCAGGTGAGTGGCCTGGCCAGATGTGGCTGGGACTCCTGGGTCCTTTCTTGGTTGGGAGAAAGAGGAACATGGGTTACCTTTTTCCTGCAGGCCAGAGTGAGGTTGCCATTCTGTCAAAGAACACACTTGGGCTGTCAATGGAAAGGGGCAAACCAGACTGAGAGTACAGACCCTATTAGAGGCATCTAAGAAGGGGTTTCTGTTGTTGTTGGGGTACTGGGGATTGAACCCAGGGTCTTCAGGAAGCACTTTACCACGAAGCTGGCCCTTTTCTTTGTATTTTTAACATTTTGAGACAGGTTAAGGTTGGCCTCAAACGCATTCTATAGCCCTTGAACTTTCAATCCTCCTGCCTGGGCCTCCCAAGGTGATGGTTATAGGCTCGCTCCACCAGGCATGGCAAGGGAAGAGTTTCAGCCAGCTGTCGTGGGGTCTTTTCGCTCCTTCCTGGCATTCAGGCTCCAGGCTGAGTGACCTTGCTCTCAGGAGCTGGTGGGTCCTGGATTCTCGTGGGCTAGGGATTGCAGGGCCAGGTGGGCAAAACTGGCCTGCTCCAGAGCACTCAGTCCCACCCCACAGAGGACATTTGCAATGAGGACGAGCCTGCACAGGCCAAGCCAGGCACACGGTAAGGGCATCACTGGGGTGGGATTCAGACCTCCCTAGAGAGCAGCAGGGAGGGAGCCTCGGTATTTTGGGGCCATTCCCAGCTCCCTCTTGCGAAGGTCATGCTGGGAGCTGCGAGGTCAGGGGCAGAGGTGAGACTCCCGGACCCACCTGCTTGTTGCCTCCCCTGCAGGTAGACAGCACATCTCCCGAAGAGGAAGTTCTGTCGTCCCCAGTCGGCAGTCCCAAGTCAGAGGCTCAGGCTCAACATATGTGGGTTCCTTTGGTGGGGCTATGCTCCGTATCCTGTGGGCAAGGTGAGACCTTGAGGATGTTCCTGAAAACAGTGCTCCCCCTGTCTATCTGCATTCTGCTTAGATTGAATGAATATTGAAGGAGGAAACTTACAGAAAGCCAAACCACATATAGGAACGGCAGTGCAGGAAGATAGGGCGAGATACCCAATGTGTGCTCCAAATGAGTTTCCCGATTGACTAAAGTATGGAGAAAAAGAGACTGGAGAGCCGGTTCAGCGGTTAAGAGCACTGGCTGCTCTTACAGAGGACCTGAGTTCTGTTCCCACATGGCAGCTAATGACCTGTCCATAACTCCACTTCCAGGGGATCCAACACCCTCTCTGACCTCTGCAGGCATTGCATGACACAGGTGCACTTACACACATGCAGGCAATACACTCATATGCATAAAATAAAAAATAATAAATTATTGTTTGAAAAGATGGAGAAAGATAAGTATCCCTGGAAAGATGGGTGCCCAAGAGGGGTCTCTTCCAACCCCACAGAGCTGTGCCAAACTGACTGCCAAACTGAAAGCAGTCAATTTTAGGATAATTTTAAGGTATTCTTCTGTCCCTGTGTTTATTGTGGAAAATGCCCATATAGAAATCTTGACTCTTTAAAAATTTATTTATTTTTAATATTTTATTTATTATTTTTATTTTATGTGTATGAGTGTATTGCTTGCATGTATATGAGTGCACCCATGTTGTGCAATGCCGTGGAGGTCAGAAGAGAGCTTTGGATTCTCCTGGAACTGGAGTTAAGGATGGTTCGTAGCCACCATGTGGGTGCTGGGAATCGAACCCGGGTCCTCTGCAAGAGCAGTCAGTGCTCTTAACCGCTGAGCCATCTCTCCAGCCCCCCCTTTAAAATTTATTTTTATGTGTATGAATGTTTTGCCTGCGTGTATGTATATGCACCTTGTGTGTGCAATGCCTGTAGAGGCCAGTAGATGCTGCTGGATCCCCTGCAGCTGGAATTAAAGAAGGTAGTTAGCTGCCATGTGGGTGCTGGGAATGGAATCCAGGTCCTCTGGGTGAGCAGCCAGGGCTCCTAACCACTGAGCTCCCATCTCTCCAGCTCCCGTCTTAACGATTTTTAAGAGTTCTGCCAATAGCATTAAGCACATTTGCTTTGTGCAGCCATCACCACCAGCCATCTCTAGAACCCGTGTCTCCATGAAGCACCAACATCCCATCGCCTTCCACAGCCCCCAGCCGCCTACCTGCTATTTTCTGTCTCTATGGATCTGACCCTTGTGGACCTCAGCTATGTGGAATCTCATAGGGTGTGTCCCTCTATGACAGGCTTCAGTCACCTGGGTTCATCTGTGTTGGAATCTCTTTTTGACCCTGAGAAGTGGTCTGGACCACTCTTTGTTTTTACATCGTCCGTGGGTGGACACCTGATTACCTTCCTCCTTGCAGTTTTTGTGAGCATGCGTGGAACATGGGCTTGTGTGTGTTTGCCCAGCTCTGTTTTCACGTCTGGTGAGGGTGGAATCGCATGGCTGTGATAGGACTAGTTGTTGCAGGGTCCTCTGCAGGGCACAAGGATTCTAGTTTCTCTGTGTCCTTATCAACACTGACTATTTTCTGAGTTTTCAAACTTTTTAGTAGGTGTCCTATAGGGCTAAGAAGATACTCAGTGTTCTTTTTTTTTTTTTTAAAGAGATTTATTTTTATTGTTATTTAACGTGTGTGTGTGTGTGTATGTGTGTGTGTGTGTGTGTGTGTGTATGTGCACTTGTGTGCTGGTACCTGTGTAGGTCAGAGGCATGGGATCCCCCTGAAGCTGGAGTTACAGGTAGTGGTTAGCTGCCTGATGTGGGTTCTGGGAACCGAACTCAGGTCCTCTGCAAGAGCTGTACATGTGCTTAACTGCTGAGCCATTTCTCCAGCCTCCTATACTCAATATTTTTAAATTGCAGCCTGGACCATTCGCTCAGCCAAACCTTGGCACCATCGTCATCATTATTATTAATTATTATTATTATTAGTCTTTTTGAGACAGGGTCTCCCTGTAGCCCCAGCTAGCCTGGAACTCGTTACGTAGACCAGGCTGGCCTTGAACTCATGGAGATCTGCCTGCCTCTGTCTCCCAAGTGTTGGGATTAAAGGCATGCACCACCACGCCTGGCTAGAGGCATTCTTTTTTAAAAATGTATTCATTCTTGGGGGTTGGAGAGATGGCTCAGAGGTTAAGAGCATTGACTACTCTTGCAGAGGACCTGGTTTGGAATCCCAGCACCCACATGGTAGCCAAAACCATAACTCCAGTTCCAGGTGATGGTGATCTGACACCCTCTTCTGACCTCCACAGGCATTGCGTGGCATGGGTGCACTTACATACATGCAGGCAATACTCTCACACACATAAAATAAAAGAATAAATAAAATTTAAACAATTCTACCCTCTTCCACAAGTCACACTCAGTGCACATGGATCATGTGCTGCCGTGTGTTTCTCCTCCCCCTTGTCCCCAACACGCCCCCCCACTTCATGTTTTGTCATGGCTGTTCTTGTTTGTTTGACGCCTGCTGCACTTAACTAGGTGTCCTAGTTTGGTTTCTGTTGCTGTGATAAAACACTGACCAAAATCCACTTAGGGAGGCAAGGATTTATTTCATCTTACACCCTGAGGGTCACAGTCTATCACCAAGGGAGGTCAGAGACTGAAGCGCAGACCAGGGAGAAGCTGCGTATGGCCTGCTTCCTCCTGGCTGGCTTAGCTACTGTTCTTTCTTTTCTTTTTCTTTTTTTCCTTTTGGTCTTTTTGAGACAGGGTCTCCCTGTAGCCACAGCTGACCTGGAACTCGCTATGTAGACCAGGCTGGCCTTGAACTCACAGAGATCCACCTGCCTCTGCCTCCCAAGTGCTGGGATCAAAGGCGTGCATCACCACGCCCGGCCTGTTCTTTCTTTTTAACTTTAATTATGCGTACATGTGTGTGCCTGTGCGTGGATATACACACAAGTGGTGCCTGGGGGAGCCCAGGGGTGTCAGATCCCTGGAGCTGGAGGTACAGGTGGTGGTTAGCTGCCTGATGTGGGTGCTGGGAACCAAACTCAAGTCCTCTGCAAGAACAGTCAGTGCTCTTAACCACTGAGCCATCTCTCCCCTCAGCTACTTTTCTTACACATCCCAGATCCACCAGCCTAGGAGGGCACTGCCCACAGTGGGCTGGTCCCATGGAATCAACCAGCAATGGAGAAAATGCCCCCACAGACATGCCAGTTCCTCCAATGAGGTTTCCCCCTTCCCCAGGGTCTCTAGTTAGTGTCAAGTTGACAAAAACTAACCAGCATAGTAGGTTGCCTACACATAAGCCTGGGTGGAGTTCAAGAGACATTGTTGGGCCGGGTGTGGTGGTGTGTGCCTTTAGTCCCAGTACTCAGGAGGCAGAGGCAGGCAGATCTCTTAGCCTGCCTTGTCCACATAGCAAATTCCAGGCCAGTCAGGGCTATATAGTGGGACCCTGTCCTTAAAAGGAGGGGGAGAAAGAGAGAGAGGAAGCGAGAAAGAGAGAGAGAGATTGTTCCATCAATTCCTACCATGCATCTCGTTAGACAACAGCAGCTTCCAGAAGCAAGCACTTCACTCCTTCCCATATTCAGTGTCACAAAGGACTCTGCAAGTTGATGTTACATGGAAACCTCAGACTCAGAGGGGTTAAGTCACTTGTCCAAGTGCACACAGCTGGTAAGGGGCAGAGCCAGGACTCAACCACCCATTTACCTTTTAGAGTTGACCAGGGAGCAAATGCTGTGGTCCTTGCTGAGCTGGGCTATTGGATCAAAGACAATCCTGCTTTCTCCTGGCAGGCCGGATGGAGATGAACTTCCTGTGCGTGGATTCTGTCCTCAGGACGCCGGTCCAGGAAGAGCTGTGTGCTTCCAGGAAGCCGTTGCGCCGGTGGGAGGTCTGCAGGGCAGGCCCATGCCCTGCTCGGTGAGTGGCAGAGGGAGATTGCAGGGGAGGGGATCTGACCCAGGTGTGGTCTCCCATGACCCATTGGCCTTCTTCCTGCAGATGGGAAGCCCAAGTCTTGGCACTGTGCCCAATGACCTGTGGAGGAGGGTGGGTGCCACTAGCTATTTGCTGTGTGCAACAGGACCGTGGCCATCCTGTCTCTACCTCATTCCAAGTGCTGGCCGGTGCCTCAGCCTGGGCCCTTTAAGGACTGCAACACTGAGCCCTGCCCTGCTCAGTGGGCCCCTTGCCCCAGAGAGCCCTGGGTCTGCCTCTGCCATCCCCTCCCCCCAGCTTCTTGATCCTCATTTAGAGCCCCCAGGAAGCTGTAGGGTTTAAAGAGAGAATCCTGTGCCAGGCATGGTGGTACAAGCCTTTAATCCCAGCATTTGGGAGGCAGAGGCAGGTGGATCTCTGTGAGTTCCCTGGAACTGACATGGGGGTGATGGACAACAGATAAGACAGTGAGATGCACAGTTTGATGAGCAGTGTTTGGAGCAACAGAGCCAACTATGGTGGGCAGGAAGAGGCAGGGGTGGGGGGGCATCCACCAATTTGCAGGGACCCTACAGCGCCCTCTGGCTACTGTTTTTGACTACAACCTGTTTATTGCCCTTGGCTAACCCTTCTGCAAAGAGTCCACTGTGCTGAAGGACCCCAGGGGCAGAAGCTCCTCAGGCCCTTTCCAACAGTGTTTGGAGCAACCGGTTTCCTCCCACTGGAGGAGTGAGGGTGAGGTCTTTGGGTCCCACTGACTTCAGGTTTTCCCAGGTGGCGGTACAAACTGGCGGCCTGCAGTGTGAGCTGTGGGGGAGGGCTCGCCCGGAGAATCCTGTACTGCACTCGGGCTCTTGGAGAGGGTAACGATGAGGAGTTTCTGCCCAACAGCCAGTGCCAGGAGCTGCCTCGCCCAGAGCCCCAGGAGGCCTGCAGCCCAGAGCCATGCCCTCCCAGGTGAGGGAGAGGGTGGGGGACATAGCCAGTGTACAGATCCCAGGCAGGTGCTCTGGGGATAGCAAGGCCAAGTGGTAGTTCAGAGATGCCCTAGGATAGAGGGCTGCTTGGCGGGCCATGCTGGATGTGGGAGTTGAGGTTCAAGTACAATAGCAAGTGTGTGGTCAGCCCTATAGGTGCAGCTGAGGGAGGCCTAGGGGCTCAATGGATGGGGAGGGGGGAAGCCTGGGGGCTCGATGGATGGGGAGGGCAGGGGAGAGGCCTGAGGACTCTGTGGATGGGCAGGGTAGGATGCCACCGCAGCATGTCTAGGCTTTTTACCAGATTAAAAAAATTTTTTTTTTAAATTTTTTGTCTTTTTGAGACAGGGTCTCCCTTTAGTCCCAGCTGGCCTGGAACTCGCTATGTAGACCAGGCTGATCTTGAACTCACATAGATGTGCCTGCCTCTGCCTCCCAAGTGCTGGGATTAAAGGCATGTGCCACCACGCCCGGCCAGATTGTTTGATTTTTTTTTTCCTTCTCCATATCAAATAGTTTTAAATTTTGTAGCTTAGAATCCACTTAACACCCACAAGACATGTGTTTTCCTTTCCTTGTTTTTTGGTATAGATCCCTGGCTGTGCACCTGATTATTTTTCCACATTGCAATTATAGATGATATGGGTTCTGTTTGTTTGTTCGTTTTTTGTTTTTGTTTTTGTTTTTAAGACAGAGTCAAGTCAAGTGTGTGGTCAGTCCTATAGGTGCGGCTGAGGATGGGGAGTGGGGAAGGCCTGGATGTAGCCCAGGCCAGCCTTAAGCTCTCTGTGTAGCTGAGGATGGCTGAATTCTCTGTGCTTTACCTTCTAAGAGCTGAAACCACAGGCATGCGCCACCACACCTGGATCAATCTGTTTGTTAATTTCCCACACACATGGGTTCTGGCTACCAACTGGGCATTGCTGTGGCTACTCTGTTCTCTGCACTGTTCTGGAAGATTCCAGGGATTCCCCTCCCTTCAGGCTTCCTCTACTCTCAGCTGCAACCTGCCTGAGGTCTTCTCTGGATACCCTCAAGGCTCTGGGTGGCCCTCCCTGGGCTCCACATTGACTAGCACTGCTGACCCTGGAGGAGAGTCCTTCCTGGTACCATCCAGCATGGCTTGCTCAGCCTGCCCCAAGGCAACTCTGCTGGGGTTTCCTTCAAAGCATTCATTAACCACCCAACCCCTGTGGTTTTCATGGTCTTTCTTCCTTCTGGGGCCATGGTGTCTCAGTCAGGAATGCTTCTGCCTTGCGGGCCCCTGGCAGCTCCAGGGGACATTTAATGGTCACAATTAGGGAGATTTGCCACTGGCTCCTAGTAAGCATATAAGTTGAGCATGTGACTCCCCATCTGGCAGAGCCCAGGACAGGCCCCCAGGACAAAGGGCCATGCAGGCTCAGATGCTGGAGGTGGCAAGGTGCAAGGCCACTGTCCCTGCGGTTGGGTCTTGGTTTGGTTCACACCTTCGTCCCAAGTCTCAGCACAGCACTAGGCCTGTGGAAGACATGCATTGCAGCCCCACGAGGCCAGCAGAGCACTGCAGTTAAGATCACAGGCCCCAGGGCTGGAGAGATGTCTCAGCAGTCTCTAAGAGCACTGACTGTTCTTGCAGAGGACAGCGGTTCAATTCCTAACACCCACATGGTGACTAACAACCATCTGCGACTCCAGTTCTGGGGGATCTGATGCCCTCTTCTGACCTCTGTAGGCACTTATGAGATGGGTACACTTCTCATACACATAATAATAATCATAATAATAATAAAGATCAATTCAGGCAGCCTGGGTTCTAATGTGAGTTCTAGGAAGTGCCGTCCCTTTCTATTAATGGTTCCAAAGTAGTGTGGTGGCATCTGGGAGGAAGGGTCTTCCACCTTCACAGGTCGTACTATGATGAAATCTGTTTTCTCTTACCATGGGGTATTACTTTCCGTGCCTGTCCATTGGTAGCAAGCAGCTTCATGCACTAGCAGGTGTTAAATGATAAAACATGCGTTTTCCTTCCTGCAAACCCCTCAAGGACTTTTTTGAGGCCCATGACCAGGCAGGAGTTTGTTTCAGTGGCTGGGGGATGTGTCTGGACCGCTGTTGGAGAAGACGAGGGCAGAGCAGAGCCCTGTGGGCAACCCTAGGCCTCTGGCTTCTTCCCTTCTTCTAGGTGGAAAGTCCTGTCTCTTGGTCCATGCTCGGCCAGCTGTGGCCTTGGCACTGCCACACGCACAGTGGCCTGTATGCAGCTTGATGGAGGCCAGGACTGGGAGGTGGAGGAGGCCTTGTGTGCAGCTCTGGTGAGGCCTCAGGCCAGCGTCCCCTGCCTCATCGCTGACTGTGCCTACCGGTGGCATGTCAGCACCTGGACAGAAGTAAGGGTCCTTTTGGAAGTGGGACTTCTCGCCGAGGCTGAGGACGCATCAGCAGTGGGTCTTTGTGTGTGAGGGGTCCTGTAGTACGGATTTACTATGGTCCCCTGGAAGGAGGGTAGAGTCTGCTGGGGTGGACGCTCATAACTAGGAGCACAGCAAGGCGTGGAGGCCCGCACAGCTGAGGTCATGAGAGGCCTGGGGTCTGCAGACACTGGAAACTAGTGGACAGACATCACACACAGAGACCAGTGTCATCCTGTGCCGAGCACCAAGCTAGGCACCAGAAAGTCCAGGGTGGGTTAGGCTTAGTCCCTCTTGGAAGAGCTCATTTACCATAGTAGACACCACAGAGATAGTGTAGACAGGACAAATTGCAGTCCCCAGGTGCCTGCTTCCCCCACCCCCGCAAGTCGGCCTTGGTCAGGAGGACCCTGGGCATCTGGGTTGGGTGACAATGGGAATGGGTAGGACGAACACTGGACTGCAGGGTCTGATGAGCTATGGGTAGAGGTGGTCACCCTGCTGTCTGCTGTGAGGCTCTAAGGGGGCAGAGACACTATTCAGTGATGTTGGACAATCAGATGATCCTCCGGTTTTGCCACAAGTGTGATCCACACAAAGGCCCCTCTCTGAGCTCTAGTCTCCTCATCCCTGAAGCAGAGACACCTGCTGTCTTCTAGGATGTGGCCTGTCATCAGTCTGTCCTTGACTCTCTTTGGCAGGCTCGCCATGATCTTTCACTTCTCTCCCGACAGTGCTCTGTCTCCTGCGGGGATGGCATTCAGCGCCGACATGACACCTGCCTTGGACCCCAGGCCCATGTGCCCATGCCAGACAACTTCTGTCGGCACCTGCCCAAGCCAGTGACAGTGCGGGGCTGCTGGGCCGGACCCTGTGCAGGGCCGAGGACCTCCAGCCTGGCACGCCACAACGAAGCCATGCCTGCAGGCCAGACCCTGGCTGCTCTGGCTGCAGCTTCTCAGGAACGGCCCCAGCCCAGAGGCCGGGCCCAACCTCTCTTCCCATCCTTCCAGCCTTTGGGGCCCCAGGAAAACCTGTCGGAGTCTGGTTAGGATTCTTCCTGCTTCCTGTTGGGGAGGCTGGTCACAGGAGGGTGGACCTAGGCACCTCCAGCTGGGTCGGCCAGGGCAAGCACTCAGGCAGTAGGCCATGCACCAATGGACTCATGGCCCCCCTTCCTAGCTAGCAAAGGGAAGTCACATGTATGTGTTTGTGGAGGCCAGAGGACAACCTTGGGTGTCACTCCTCAGGCTCTGTCTACCTTGTTTCTACACAGGGTTTCTCATTGGCCTGGAGCTTGCCTGAGTAGGCCAGGCTGACTGGCTGAGTGAAGCCCCAGGAACCTGCCCCTTTCCACCTCCCCTGAGTTGGGTTACAAGTGCACACCACCATACCAGTTGCTTACTGGCTTGCTCCCTTGGGCTGATTCAGCAAGCTGTTTTTTTCTCTCTCTCTCTCGAACTATATTAGCATCTTAACCTAAGTTACTCCATCTTGCTCAGAATAGCTATTTTAACAGCAACCTCTTTTCACTTATGGGAAATATTTAAAAAGAAAAAACAACCTTGAGTTCTGAGAAATAGCTCAATCACAAACCAATGGAACGTGCTAATCTTAGACATTTTACATCTTGCTAACTGCTTGTTTTCACTTCTGTAACTTGTTTGCTATTTTAGGTCATCTTGACACAAGGTATAAGACCACCCTGTTACTGTCTGACCACCGGTAACTGCTGATTCCAGCTTTCTTACTATACTTGTTATGGCAAGAAGTTGACTCTACTCCCAGATAGACAGCCCGGCCGGTCTAAATAGTAAACATTTACCTTGCTACTTTTCTTAAAGTGGTGCTGGTGATTTTTTGCACTCCGTCCTGTAACATTTGGAGGTTCCACCGAGATCCGGAGGACCTCTGCACCCGGCAGCTTCAGGAAATTCCCTGAGAAGGGAGCTGCCCAGCAGTATTCTGAGGACTTCCCAGCAGGGGACCTGCATCAGCCTAGGCTGTCTGGGCAGTACAGGCAAACTCCCAGAGTGGGGACTTGCATCAGTCCTGGCTGCTTCTGCTTGGATCTCACAGAGATCCACCTGCCTCTTCCTCCCAAGTGCTGGGATTAAAGGCATACAAAACTACTACTGGGCACAACTAGCTTTCTTATACAGCCCAGGCCCACCTGATGGTGGTACTACATATATTAGCAATTAAGAAAATGCCTCACAGCTGGGCATGGTGGTGCACGCCTTTAGCCCTAGCACTCAGGAGGCAGAGGCAGGCAGATCTCTGTAAGTTCAAAGCCAACCTGGGTTACATAGTGAGTTCCAGGCCAGCTGGGGCTACAGAGAGAACCTGTCTCAAAAAGACCCCCCCAAAAAACAAAAAAAAAAGAAAAGAAAGAGAAAGAAAATGCCTCATAGATGTACAGACACGCCCACAGGCCAGTCTGAGGGAGATAATGCCTCAATTAAGGGTCCCTCTTCCCATGTGTGTCGCTGACAATGGAAACGATCCAGCACAATTGACTCCTTGTCAGCTTGGCACACAAACACATCACTATAAAACCACAACCTTTCCCTCTCTCTCTCCCTCTCTCTCTCTTCTCTCTCCTCTCTCTCTCTCTCTCTCTCTCTCTCTCTCTCTCTCTCTCTTTGTTGTTGGTCTTTTTGAGACAGGGTCTCCCTGTAGCCCCAGCTGGCCTGGAACTCACTATGTAGACCAGGATGGCCTTGAACTCACAGAGATCCGCCTGTCTCTGCCTCCCAAGTGCTGGACTCAAAGGTGGGCACCACCACACCTGGAAACCATTCCATTTCTTGTCCCCAGTATCTCATGTTAATAGAAATATCACAATATAAAACATAGTACAGGGTCTGGAGAGGTGACTCAGCAGTTAAGAACACTGGTTGTTCTTACAGAAGACTCAGATTCAAATCCCAACACCCACATGGCAGCTAACAACTCTCCATAACTCCAGTCCCAGGGGATCTGACAGCTTCTTCTGATCTCCGAGGGCATTGCACGACATGGGTGCACTCACCTACATGCAGGCAATACACAAATACACATAAAATAAAAATAATAAATCAAATTTTTAAAAAAGTTAAAAAGTACAACTTTGAGCCCCACAGTCCTTAAAAAGGCCAATGCTTTATCCATATATCATAACCCAAAGTCTCTTAACTGTAAGCTCCTGTAAAATAAAAAAACAAAACAAGCTGGGCATGGTGGCGCACGCCTGTAGTCCCAGCACTTGGGAGGCAGAGGCAGGCAGATCTCTGTGAGTTCAAGGCCAGCCTGGTCTACATAGTGAGTTCCAGGACAGCTGGGGCTACAGAGAGACCCTGCTTCAAAAAGACTAAAAACAAAACAAAAAAACCCCACAAAAACATAGCACAGATTAAGTGTCTCTGGGATCGAACTCAGGTCCCCTTGTTTGGTAGGGAAGTGGTTTACTGACTGAGCCATCTCCCTGGCTTTGAAGCCATTCTTTTATCACTGTTCCCCAACCTGAAGGTTGCAGAGCTCAGAGCTCAGTACATGTGGCCCAAAGCCCACTCACCACACCGCCCCCTTTCCCTGCAGCATCTGGAAATGCTCTGTGCCTTGGACGGCGATTAATGCGCTGATCTGGGTAGGCAGCTCTAGCCTCCAGCCCTGCCCTGCTCTGGGCACCTTGTTCCCCCTTCCCTGCATCCTCTGCAGGTGCCTGTGGCAGGCAGTACCTGGAGCCCACAGGAACCATTGTCATGCGAAGTCAGGAGAAGGCAGACTGTGTGGTGGCCATCAGGCGGCCCCTGGGTGAGGTGGTGACCCTCCAGATCCTTGAGAGCTCCCTCAAGTGCAACGCAGGTATGTCCAGAGTTGCATGAACATCTGCTGAGTCAGGGAGCTTACAGCACAACCCCAGTGAACCCCACTCCTGGCAGGATATCCCACTGTGTTCTCACTTTTTATTTTCACAACCATCTCACGACTGAGGTATGAGAATCTCCATTTTGCAGATGAGGAAGCAGGGGACCAGAACTTCAGTAACGTGACCCTTAGTCACATTAGTCAGTAGAAGGGAGAGTGGGGATTCGAACTCAGCTCAGGCCACCTTGGAACTACTGCTACCAACCCAAAGTAGGGGTGCTGGTCCCTCAATGCCTTGCTCCTTCCTAGGGGAGCTGTTGCTGCTATAGGGTAGGCTCACATGGAGGAAGACATGCCACAGGCTGTCTGGCATGACTTTCAGCACCAAGACCAACACACTGGTGGTGCGGCAGCACTGAGTGCTCCCAGGGGGTGGAGTGATGTTGCGGTACTGAGCTGGCCTGCCCCGGGGACCTTCCACAGAGGTATGGCCAGGTGCATGGGCCTCCCCATCTTCCCACTGGGCAGCTGTGCCTGTGCCTGGGGACAGGGCAGCTTCGGCAGAGGCAGCCCAGGAGAGAGATTGCCAGGAGGGAAGGAAACCGGGGACGGTCAGTGTATTCTGCACACACAGTCAGGATGGGCTGCCTCTGTGGCCATGCAGTCAGATAGGTGGATGGCTCGATATATGGTCCATGTCCTTACTTCATCCCTCAGGCCACTGCCTCACGCCCAGTGCTTAGCTCTTTCAAGGTCCTCTAAGGTCCTCTGTGGGTCACTTTCCTCAGCCCATTCCCCATGCACCCACACGTCAGATGTCTGCACTACACACCCATCAGACAGGTGAGGACATCTCAGGAACCCCTGCCTTACTCAGAGCACAACAGAACCTTCTAAGAACCCTTCTGGTCACCTCAGAGGTTTGATGTCTCCCAGAAGTCCAAACTGGCTGAAGATGCCTTCCCTTGCCAATTCCAGAGGTTTCTGGATCCCCAGGCCTCGTGTGCAAGAGGTATGATAGGGGCATGGCCTCTGCCAAGGTTAAACCATCACCTCCTCCTACAGCCTCCACCAACCTTGAGCACGCTGGCGGCTGGGCGTCAGATCCCTGGGAACTGGAGTTATAGATGGTTGTTAGCCACCATATGGGTGCTGGGATTCAAACCCAGGTCCTCTGCAAGAGCAGCCCACGCTCTTAATCACTGAGCCATCTCTCCAGCCCTGCCTTTCAGTTCTCAAAAAAATATATATCTTATTCACTATTGTGTGCGTGTGTGTGTGTGTGTGTGTGTGTGAGTGCACACGCACACCACAGTATGGGTGTGGAAGTCAGAGGACAACCCCATGAAGAAGATTCTTTTCTTTCACCTTTACTTGGGTTCTAGAGATCCAACTCAGACAAATGCCAAGAATTTTTACCTGCTGAGCCATCTCACCTGCCTTTAAAGATTTATGTAGTCTTTCTCTGTAAGAGAGAGGGCTGGAGAGATGGCTCCATGGTTAAGAACACTGGCTGTTCTCAGAGGACCCGGGTTCGAATCCCAGCACCCACATGGCAGCTAACAACTGTCCATTAACTCCGGTTCCAGGGGATCTGATGGCCTCTTCTGTTCTCTGAGGGCATTGCACAACACGGGTGCAATTACCTACACGCAGGCAATACATGCATACACATAAAATAAAAATGAGAGAGGGAGAGGGAGAGGGAGAGGGAGAGGGAGAGAGAGAGAGAGAGAGAGAGAGAGAGAGAGAGAGAGAGAGAGAGAGAGAGAGAGAGAGAGAAAGAGAGACAGAAGAAAATGTCTCTGGTTCTCTCCATACATCTACCCGACGCACAAAT